TGGCCAGGCTGGTCCTGAACTCCTAATCTCGAGTGATCTGCCCACCTCAGCCTCCCAAAGTGCTTGGCTTACAGGTGTGAGCCACTGCGCTCGGCTGGGTCTGACTTTTAACCTCTGCTCCATGCAGCTCCTGAATGATGATTTGGGCAGCTGGGGTGACGGGAGGAGAGACTGAGGACCGAGGTCCTGATGCTGGCCCATCAGGTTCTCCTTCCAGCTCTGCCGCTGACATCTGTCGAGCTTTGGTGGGCCCATCTGTGAAATGGGACTACATTTCTACAGTTCAAGGTCCCAGGGTTGTCGTGGCAGCCACTGAGACAACAGGGAGGAAAGGGCTTTGTGAGCTGAGGCGGGGGGGGGGGTGGGGGGCCAGTGGGCAGGAGATGATTACCATCGAGATCATTTGTATGGAGGCCAGGTATTTCTTCAGAGTGAAAGTGAGTGACGGTGGGGCCATGAGGGTCCCACAGGGCAGCTGGGTCCTGGCCCCTTCCCTGACTCAGGCTCCTTCCTGTATGGACATGGGTTACCTCCCCCACAGTGACCACACAGCTTGTTTCCCATGCTCCCTAAAGCCGTGGGCTTCCCTGGGGACATCAGCGGGGACCACTATGTTACATGGGGAAGCTTTCACTGGCGGCCCTGGAAGAGGAAGAGGGATTTCTCAGCTCTCTCTCTCTCTCTCTCTATTTGAGATGGAGTCTCACTCTCTTGCCAGACTGGAGAGCAGTGGGTGATCCAGCTCACTGCAACTTCCGACTACTGGTTCAAGTGATTCTCCTGCCTCAGCCTCCTGAGTAGCTGGGACTATAGGTATTCACCACCACGCCTGGCTAATTTTTGTATTTTTAGTTCAGACGGCATTTCACGATGTTGGCCAGGATGATCTTGATCTCCTAACCTGGTGATCCGCCCACCTCGGCCTCCCAAAGTGCTGGGATGATAGATGTGAGCCACCGCACTGGGCCTCAGTATTTTAAAAGTTTGAAAATCCCTGGACAAGCTCACCCACAGGTTTGTTCACTCAGTGGCCCTGAGTCCCCTGTGTGCCAGCACTGGAGCTGGGCTTCCAGCCTCTGCCCATGGGAGCCCGCAGCCCAGGCGGACGGCAGACAGTGAGCTTCTAACCTTGGCACGTGGTGCCAAGTAGTGTGGCTGGGAGCACAGGGGTGAGGACCCAGGTCTGTGTGGCAGTCCCAAAGGTGCCCAGAAGGAGATGAGGTGCAGCTGGGGTCTCCCTGGCGTGGGGAAGAGGAGCAGAGCATGGGTCTCATTTTGGGAGGAGGGGCCCCTTCTACTGCCTAGGGATCTCCTCGCCGTAGCAGCCATGAAGGCTCCATCCGAGGTAGTGAGGTCTTCCACGGTAAGGCGTGAGGAGGGGGCTGTCCGTGCCCCTCCCTGGCCTGGGGCTGCCATCTCTGCCCAGACCTACCTCCACCTGCTTCTTCGGGAGACCCGTGCCCCTCCCAGCCCCTTTCCTGGTTCCTGGGACCCAGTGGCCGTCGCTGACAGCTTTTCCAGAACGCGGGCGACACCTAATGGACGTCATGGCTCACAACCGGTGCTCCGCTCCACCCCTCCCACACCTCTGCCCCAGACCCAGAGTGGAGATCTGCTGGGGGCCTGCCCCACAGTGCCCAGGAGAGCACAGGAAGCCATCAGTGTGGCCTCCGCCATCTGCTCACTGCTGTCACCACCGCCTCTCAAGAAGCGCTGCCCTTAAAGCAAACAGCACAGGCTGGGTGGCACCCTGGCCCTGCCGCCTCGAGGGCTGTGTAGAAGCAAATCACTTCACCCATCCCATCCTGTTTCCCCCTTATACAAAATGTTGATAATGAAGCACATCCCATAGGGTTGGAGGATTACATGAGCTCAGGGATGAGAATGCCCCTTCCACAGGGCCTGGCGGGGAGAAGACAAACTGTCAGAGCTGGTGACTGCTGCCCTGGGCAGAAGGTCCTCGGGTTGGCGAGGCAGATAGCGGCAGGTAGAAGAAGGCGTTGCTGATGGAAGTGGACTGCCTGTGACATTCTCCTCCAAACAGAAACCTGGCAGAAGCAAAGCTGTGGTTTAGCCAGAAAATCTGGCTCCCTGCCCGTGAGTGTGAGGGGAAATGGGAGCGTGGAAGGAAGAGGAGGAGGATGCAGAAGGGAAGGGTCTGTCAGCCCTTGCTGCCCCTGAGCCACAGCCAGGCACCCGGGGCCTTGACTGACCCTGCTCCCCGCTGGGCCTGGGAGCTGCCCCTTCCTCGGCTGGGCCCTGACTGTGAATGCAGAGAGGCGGCCCTTCCTCCAGAGGTTGGCGCGGTGACACTAGCTGTCGGCTTCCTCAGTTGTGGCTTCCTAACAAGCAGCTGATGCCACCAACTGTGATAACAAGGAAAGTTCTGGAGAGAAATACCAAGGCTCCTAGCAACAGGAGATAGGGGTGCACAGTTTTTAAAAACAAGACATATTGCCCTGTCAACAGCAACCCTTCTAAAATACCCATGCTCTGGCGAGAAGGGGGCCTGGGATCTCGGGATGTCAGGGCCCACGTAAGAAAGGCAGAGCACATCGACCACTGCACTGAGAGCTTTGGTGGGGACTATTCATAGCTTTGCTTCTACAGGGAGGAAACTGAGGCCCAGAAGAGCCAAGTAAATGACTTCAGGTCACACAACAAATGCAGGATTTGAACTCCGACTCCAGAGCCTGAGACTCAGAGGGCATCTGATCCAGCTCCCACATTTTGAGAAAGTGGGTGGAAAGCAAGAGATTGGGAATCAGAAGACAGGGTTTCACATTCTGGCCCCACTGGACACGAGCTGGCCATCCGCAACAAGTCACCAGTTCCCCCACCCCCTTCCCTAGTCTCCAGTTTTCATCAGATGAATAAAGGGCAGGGCAGAGAGGGTGGGCAAGGCCTGTGGGAGAGCGCAGGATTGAAGATCGATTAGCATAAGTCTCATCAACAAGGTGCAACTCCAGCCCAGACTTGACCGGGACGCACTGTAAAGACAGCCCAGTGGAAGCCACCAGGAGCGTGAGCAGGGAGTGCCAGGGCTGGGCTTAGTCACTGCTGGCCTACTGCTGCGTGAGGCAGAGATGGAGGGGCCGAGGGTGGGCGCAGAGAGAACGGCAGAGAGAAGCTGCAGCGACCCAGGCACCAGCGATGGTGGCTCCCACCAAAGAAGGTGGTGGCGAAAGTCGTAAGAAGTGGCCAACTTCTAGATTTTTCCCCTCTTATTTTTCTTTCCATGTAAACATTTGATGAAAGCATTTTATAAATACAGAATCTAGATGCATTTTGAAGGCAGTGCCAACAGATTGGGTGTGGGATGTGGAATATGAGAATCTGCCACCCAGGTTTTGGCCTGCAGGAGAAGAGCCCTCAGCGGAGACGGGCAAGGCAGGCGCGCAAGGAGCTGGCATGGACAGATGCGATTCTCTCCAACCCTCGACCAGGGAGGCTCTGCGTGGCCCCACCAGCCCTCCTACTTCTCATCTTCAAGTCTCAGATAAGATGTCAGACCCCCAGCAGTCCTCAGGGAAGCTTCCCTCACCCTCCTGGAGGTGGGCATTGCTCCCCAAGCCCACCCTGATCCCGGCACCCTCAGCTTGTTCTGCAATCCCCTGCTTACTTATTTTCCCTTTGGTCTGAGAGCTCTGTGGAGTCTGGTGCAGAGGGGCTGGCCTGGAGTAGGTCTTCAGTACACATGTGCTCATGGAAGGCATGACCCTGTCGAGGACAGCGGGCTTTCTCAGTGAGAGTCCACGCATCCCTCTACACTCCCACTGCAGTTCTCTGAGAATCAGGGCATCAGTGCCAAACAAATGGAGCTTGTGTACCATCAAGGGCCCATCCTTTCTATCTTATAGATTAGGGGATGGAAGAGAGAAGGGAGTGAGAAAGATGGCCTGGGCATGGTGCCTCACGTTTGTGATCCCAGAACTTTCAGAGGTCTAGGCAGGTGGATCAATTGAGGCCAGGAGTTCGAGACCAGCCTGACCAACATGGTAAAACCCCGTCTCTACTAAAAATACAAAAATTAGCTGGGCATGGTGGCGCACACTTATAATCCCGGCTACTCAGGAGGCTGAGGCAGGAGAATCACTTGAAACTGGGAGGCGGAGGTTGCAGGGAGCCACGATCGTGTCACTGCACTCCAGCGAGGACAACAAAATGAGACTCTGTCTCAAGAAATTAAAAAAAAAAAAAAAAAAATGGCCTGGATCTCACCCGGGAAACCTGTCCCCCAGCATTGAGACTGGCCATGGCCCTTCTTCTTCCACTGTGTCGTTCGGCCAGACATCTTCACAGTCTGGAGCTGGTCTCTGCGGTGGTCTGGATCCCCGAGGTGAGGAGGTGCCCACTGGCTTGGGCCGGCCACCCTGGTTCCACGTCCACCTTTCTACACCTGCTTCTCTCACAGCCTGCTTACACTTTCCCTGATGCTCATAAACCTCAAGCTTCCCATCTAAAGCTGCAATTTCCAACCACGCATGGGTTGGGGAGAAGAGTAGGCCAGTCACCCACATGATAGTAAAAGCCAAGCCAGGTGGAGCGCAGGAGCCCGAGCCCCCAGGCCCTCTGCTGCCCCCCACTTCTGGTGTCCCTTTCTGTCTTCACCAGAGAAATCCAGAGTTTGTGTCTGAACTCCTAAAAGTTAGTACCACTCTCAGCATTCTGCCGAGGAGTTTCATATCTGATTTCTGTTTGTTTTCTTTAAATCCCTGAATCCCTCCTGCCTGGCACTGTGCCTGGCACATAGCAAGTGCTCAATAAATGTGTGTTGCCTGATAGAGCAAAGGATTACAGCTGTGTGTTCTCTGTTATTACATGAACCTGACCTCCTTCTACACCTTCAAGGAAAGGAACAAAGGCCATGTCCACAACATTTCCTCGGCCTCTAAGTCCAGCTCAGGGCTGAGAACCCACCAGTCTCAGTGAATAAGAGAACAGGACTAATTACGCCAGTTAGTTATGGCTGCCTAACAAACCTGCCAAGACCCAGCGACTTAGAACAAAAGCCTTTATTTAGCTCACAATTCTGCACGTTGGCAGTTCAGCCTGGGCTCAGCTGGGCAGTTGTTTTGGTCTCAGCCAGGTTCCCTCACGCATCTGTCGTCAGCTATAGGCTGCTGCTCGCTGAGCTCTCTCTCAGTGTCTGAAGTCAGCTGAGGCCACTGATCCCGGCAGCTCTCCTCCTCCAGTAGGCTAGCCCAGGCTTTTCCGCAGGAGGCAGCTGTCCTAAGAGAGAGTAGCAGTGCCGCAGACCTCCTGAGGCCTAGCTCAAAACTGGTAAACCATCCCACCTACAGCATTCTATTGCCCAAACTAAGCCACAAAGCTAGTTTAGATTCAGGGGTGGGGCAAACAGATTCTGCCTCTTGATAAGAAAAGCTAATTACATCGTAAAAGGTGAGGACACAGGGAGGCAAGGACAGTGGTGGTTTTTTTCCCAGCTGTCCAGAGCTGGGTGTGGGCACCTGGGCAGCACACAGCCAGGGTGATGGCAGCGTTTTCCCAGAGCTCATCTCATATTTCCAGCTGCCTGCTTGACATCTCACTTGGATGTCTCAGGCATCTCCAACTTGAGGAGTTCATAAGGGAACCTTTGGTTTCCTAGCGCTCCCTTTGCCTGGGAGCCCATGCTTCACCCACGTTCTCAGGAAACCAGGAACCGACCTCACTGCCTCCGCTCCTTCCACTTTTCACATTCCGTCTGCCAGCAGGTCCTGCTCATCATCTCTGTGTTTAAAACAGCCCGTGCTCTGCCCTCTTCTCTTCATCTCTTTGGCCGCTGCCCAAATCCCTGTCATCAGCAGCTCTTCCTCCTTCATGGAAGGAAATAAGCAGGGACTGTCTCAAACTGTGACCCAAGTTACACTCACTTTCTGGCTTACAGCCCCAGTGTGGCTTCCTGTTCAGGAAAGACATGCCGAATCCTTCCGTGGCCAGGCACACTTGCCAGGACGCCACCCTCACCAGCCTCTCCACCCTCATCACCCTCCACTCTCCCAGGCACAAGAGCCTCTTTCATGTCACAGCTCTTGCTCTGTCTTGTCCCCGGGCCTTTGGACTTGCTATCCTTTTTGTCTAAAGCGCTTCTCTTCAGGATCTGCAAGCGGTGGGATCCCTGCCACCATTCAGGGCTTGGTCAAATTTTACCTCCTCAGAGACGCACTCCCTGACCGCCGGATCTAAAGCTCTCTCTGGCCACGCCCTCCACACCCGTGTGTCTCGCTCTCTGTGCTTTTCACTGAACTTCTCTTACTGGTTTCCTGGCTTGTGTCTGCCTCCCCTCAATGAAGCATAAGCTGTGTGGCTTGGACCTTGTCTGGTTCATCATAGTGTCCTCAGCATCCAGGACAGATGCTCAAGAGAATCCATGAATGAAGAAGAGAAGAGAAGAGGTGAAGGAAGCCTCTATGGGCCTTTGGGATTGAGTGTCTGCACTTTTGCCAAGTCACCACTAGATGGGGACCTTTTAATTACCTACTAATCACAGCTGTAGCACCGCGTGCCTGCGCATGTGGGTGTGTGTGTGTGCCTGCGTATGTGTGTGTACATGTGTGTCCATGTGTGCATGTACATGCATGTGCCTGTGTTTGTGGGTGCACTGTGCGTGTGTGCATGTGTATTCATGTACAAGTGTGCATGTGTGCATCTATGCATGTATGTGTGTGCATGTGCATACCTGCTTGTGGATGTGTGTGCACTGTGCATCTATATGTGTGTGTGCGTGCGTGTGTATGCGTGTGTAAATGTGTGCATGTGGGTATGTGTGCATGTATGGGTGTGTGCATGCACGTGTGCCCCTGTATGTGCATTCATGTACATGTGTGTGCGCGTGCATTTGTGCACGTATGCATGTGTGCATGTGTATGTGTGCATGCATGTGGATGTGTGCATTGTGCATGTGTGTGTGTGCATATGGGTATGTGTGCATGTATGGGTGTGTGCATGCGTGTGCCCATGTGTATGTGCATTTATGTACATGTGTGTGCATGCATTTGTGCGTGCATGCATGTGTGCATGTTTGCATGTGTGCATGTGTGGGGGGGGCATGTGTGCGTGTATGGGTGTGTGTGAATGTGTGTGCATGTATGTACATGTGTGTGCATTTGTGCATGTATCCATGTGTGCACTTGCATGTGTGCATGTGTATGCCAGCAGTGTGAACTTGTGCATGTATCCGTGTGTGTGCATGTGCGTGTGCATTTCGGGTTCTCAGGTACAGCTTCCTCTTTCCAGATAACTCCACCCTAGTCCACTCTCAGGGTTGGCAGTGAGGAGGGGAAGCCACCAGATGCCCTGGTTTGTGACCTCGGGCAAGTTAGCTTCAGCCTCCTCATCTATGAAATGGTGCTAAACCCTAGTCATTCCTGGGGTGTGGTTAGGATTGCTGGTGTCTATCATCAAGTGCCGGATGTGCCTGGCACACAGAAGATGCCCTATGGATGCTCGCTGCTGTCCTCAGGGTGACACACGCCAGTTCCACATGGAGAAAAAGAAGCGTCCTGTGGAGCCGGCCGGAGCTGGCTGCAGTCAGCCTGTTTGCCACTCTCCCTCTGCAAAGTCTGTGTCCTGCAGAAGCTTCCCTCCCACGCCTCCCTGGAACTTCTCACGTTGTGCCAACACCACCGAGCTTCCTGCCCCCTCCGCTCGCCAGCAGGAAATCTGCCAGGGCTGTTCACTCCTCTGGCTCTCCGATCCTGCAGCTCCTACTGTTCTAGCGCCTGGGTGCCCTCTGTCCTCCCACTCCCCCACTTCTGCCTCTGAAGATCCTTCCAGATGCATCAAGCCCAGCTCCCCATGTAGCCCCCACACTCTCAGGGGTGAGGGCTACTTGAGCTCAGGCCTCCCAGTCAGCCTCACTGTCCAACCAGAGGGCCCAGCCCAGGTGCTGTCACCCTGGGAACCCTTTTCTCACCTTCTTTCTCGTCTCTCTCTCTCTTTCTGTTGATCTGTCTTCCGGTTCTCCCTCTTCTCTTCCATCTCTCGTTTCCTTCATCTCGAGTCTCTAACCCTCCTTCCTTGCTCCCTGTACCCCCTCCCTCTCTAGTTTTGCATTTTGTCCTCCTGTCCTTTCTGATGTGTGCATTTGACATCCAGTTCTACTTCAATGGCCTGCCCCATCCCCAGGCCTTCCAGAACTGATCTGGAGCAGCGGTCTTTCACAGTGGACTGTCACTTCTGTGGCATCCCTCAGCTGATGACCGGGCCTGTCCTGACCTGGATGATGAGACAGACCAAGGCCAAGAAAAACCATCTTTGGAAGCCACCTTTTAAAAACAAGCCCAACTCCAGACCTGGCATCTTTTAATGTGCTAATGGAGAAAATGAGGCATAAAGAAAGGAACTGAGGGCTTTGGAACGCCTTTCTTGCCGCGTGAACTACATCTCCACAAATAAGACGAGGCAGCAAGTCTGCAGTCCTGCCTGTGGCTAGCCCCTTGCCTCAGCCCTCCTCATTCCTGAATTATCTCTTGGGTGTTCTTGGTCAGTGTCAGAACTCTGAACACTCCTAGATTGTCCACTGCGGTCCACACCTCTCCTTTGGGCTCCAGACTTCTGTACACGTGTCCATGTGCTTTCCCCTTACATGTCCGGTGTGTGTCTCCAACTCAGTGTGGCTCACACCAAACTCTTGCTGTCTTCATCATCAGCTCTCCCCTGATCTTCACAAGCTCAGTATTTGGTGCCACTATCTACAATCACTCAGGCCAGGAGCCTGGGACGCAGCCTCTGTTCCCCTCACACCCCACACCAAACCCATCAGCAGGTCCTGTCAACCCTGACACGATCTGCATAGCACTCTCAGCATCTGACACTTCATCCCCTCTGTCAAAGTGCTGGTCCCGGCTGTAGCTGTACCTCCCAGTGCTTTGCAACACTGGGAGGTACAGTGTTGGGGCCATTCTTTCCTCCCTGACTCTCCTCCCTCTCTGCACTATAGCCAGAGTGATCTTTCTGGGGAAAAAGTAGAGCATCCTCTGCTTCACATGCTCCATTGACTCCTTTGCCTTTGACATAGAAGGCATGTGTCTCGCCCCGTCCGACCTCATCTCCATTCTTCCCCAAGGCGTCTCTGCTTCTAGCCCACTGGCCCTGAGGTCTCAGACCAAATGGCACCTCCCCAGAGGGGCCTTCTTCGACCACCTAAAGCAGGCACTCTTCTGTCCCCGACCCCCGACCTCTGTCATTCTACAGCATGTTGCTTTGTCTGAGGTGCTTCAGTGCACTTGGCCCTGTTAGACGGTGTCTTTATTAATGAATATGCTATGGTCTCCTGCTCTTTTTGGAAGGCAAGCTCCTTCAGGGCAAGGATTTTGTCCTTCTCATTGCTGATCTCCTGCCCCCTAACATGCAGTAAAGGTTCCTTGCCGACCACCTTACTGACCACGCTTATATGGCCTATGGGCCAGTGCCAGCAGCTGACCCCCAGGAGACAGGAAGCCAGGCTCTTGGGCCAGATATGCTGCTTCTGTGCTCTGGGGCCTCAGGCAAGTAGTTCCCTCTCCAAGCTTGATTCCTCAGCTTTCAAATGGGGATAAAGATACGTGCACTGCCTATTTCATGAGAGCTTTTGTTCATTCACTCATTAAACAAGCAAGTATTAAGCTCCCGACACATGTCCTAGCCTTTGGCTAGGAGCGGGGTGGGGGGTGGGGGTACAGGTGCAAGCCAGCAGACCCCACACTGCTTAGTCCAGGGGTATAGTTCTCTGTGGGCTCTATGAGAACGAGAGCCCTCAAACAAGACAGTCTTACTCCCTGCTCTCACAGAGCTTTCTAGTTGCGGGGAGAGTCGCTGCACATGGACACAGAGAAATAAACAAGATCATTTCCGGTAGAGATGAATGCTGGAGAGACAGCGGGTAGCATGTCAGAGAGCGGAGGCTGAGATGAGGAATGCATTCAGAGCAAATGAGAAAGGTCTTTGGAATTCACAAAATACGAATTCCAACAGTTACCATTTTCATCTTTCCCCTTTGGCAGAGGGAGGCAGTCAGAGGCCGGGAGATGGAGATGATGGAGGTTCAGTTGGCTGGAACCCCATCTCTGCCTCCCACACCGGGTCCTCCCTGTACCACACATGTGTGTGCGTGTGGCCGGAGGGGGTGTCACTGCTGGGTAAGCTTAAAGTCCCTTGCAAAGATGCCAAATGCTTATGTAAGCCCACTCAAAGGAGGGAAAACCAGATGGCCTGAGGGCAGCTGTCCCCACCACCAGGCAAACTGGGCCCTGGGCTCTGGTGACAGGCCTTTCTCTGCACTGATCGCTCAGTGACATTTAGAGTCATGGACAGACCAAGTTGCTTTCTTCCTTTCCCTTCCCTGCTTACCTACTGCATCCCAGAGCAGCCCCTGGTTGCTAGGCAACCTGGGACCAGGCCTGGGGGCAGGATTTCAGAACTCAGGGAAGGCTAGGGAGTTGGTTAACTCTTGCAGGGCAGCTCTTTGAACTGAGGTGCAATTAGGCTAGGGAAACAGTTGTTTTTGTTGTTGTTGTTTTGTTTTGTTTTGAGATAGGGTCTCACTCTGTTGCCCAGGTTGGATGGAGTGCAGTGGCGCAATCACAGCTCCTTGTGGCCTCATCTCCTGGGCTCGGGTGATCCTCCTCTCTCAGGCTTCCGAGTAGCTGGGACTACAGGTATACACGACCACACCTGCTAATTGTTTGTATGTTTAGTAGAGACAGGAGTCTCAGTGTGTTGCCCAGGCCTGTCTTGAACTCCTGGGCTCAAGTGATCCTCCTGCCTCAGCCTCCCAAAGTGCTGGGATTACAGGTATGAGCCACCGTGGCTGGCCAGGAGAGGGGTTTTATTCCTTAAGGGGTTGCTGACCCAGTGTTGTCAGCAAAGAGGAAAAGAAACCTTAGATGCAGAAGCCTCCACCACACCAGTGCCCTGAGTAGGGCTCTGGACTCAGGAGCCCTGGTCAAGGCTTCAGGAGCAACTGGCTGCTTCTGCTCTGCAGGGGCAACATGAGAAGAAAGCACAGCTCAGGCCAGGTACTTTCTGGTCCAAGTCCCAGCCCCTCTGGCACCTCCTGCCACCACCCAGCAGTGTTACCGCCTGGGGCTCCAACCTCTGCCCCTCAACCTTTGCTCCACTCTTTCTCATCTCCAGGGGTCCTGGGCTGGGAGGGTGAACAGCATTGAATAGAGAAGGTTCCCTGGGGAGTGCAGCCAGCCCACGGGAGCCCAGGGTGGAGGCTTGGGCTGGGCCAGTGGGGCGTCCCCACCCCTGTGGCTCAGACAGGTGGGAAGAGGCATGGGAAACTCAGTCCCTGGAGGCCTCCTTCTCCAGTCCCGTCTCCCGATCCTTCTTACCAGGTCCTGATCCCTTCCCCTCTCCTGAACGTGGCCTTGGAGGTATCATAGAAGAGACGCTTTGCTTTAGGCCTGAGAAGGACCACACCAGAGAGCTCCAACCCAGGAAGTCTCCCTGAGCTCATACAGGGAACACAATAGGGTTCTTTCCCTGTCAACCACGTGCTGGCAGCAGTGGGCTGAGGCAGTTCCTCTCGGTGCAGGAGGCCAAGCCCCCAACCCACACGGCTGGTGCCAGGAGCCTCACAGTCCTAACTCTGGGTCTTGGTGTGTGCTGAGCTGGAGTGGTGGGTGGGGGGAGCTCGGGAGACCAGGGGTCTGAGCTCTGGCACCCACTCTGGGAAGGAGGACGTATCCCCTGCCCTAGGGGATGAGTGGCAGAGAGATGGTAGTTTCCTAACCTCAGGAGGAAACAGAGGAACTCCAAGACGCACTCACAGCTATGAATAAATATGCCTGGGAAGGAAAGTGATTCATACAACCCCATGAGGCCAGGCAGGAAGTGAGCCACATGCTGTAACGGGCCACGTGTTTATTCAGTGCTCTTCACCCTCCCAGCCTGGGACCCCAGGACCCTCCCTGCTCTGCTGGAAAGGATGGTCCTCACCAAAGGCCACCACTGGGTGCCTCTGAATGTGCCTGCTGTCTAGCCCAGGATTACCCTGCACATACCCATACCCTACCAGCCCCAGAACACAATCTGGATGCCAAGGCCACCCCCCACTTGCAGGGCACTCTGCCCACTTGCCCTTGTCCTTGAGTGGTCTCAGTAACATGTGAGTCCCCCTGCTCTTCTTACCTATTTGCTTTGGTGGCCCTGGCAGCACCTATCCTGGTGCTTGAGATGCAGTCGTCCTTAATAAATATTTGTCCAACTGGAGGACAGCTGAGTCGTTTTGTTAACACATGACAGAAACAAGGAAACATGTTCTCAACAGTAACAGTTGTCAAGGGAAGCTTCAACATTCAGTGTAAGCCCAAGTGAGCAAGTATTTATGGAGCATGTACTATCTACCGGGCTCTGGGCCCCCAGAGAGTGTAGGAGATACATTCACGGGCGGGAGGGCCAGGGCAAGATGAGCATGGACATTCGGAGAAGCTCTGCAGCATCAGGAAGCAGCTCAGGATTGCCTCCTTCCAAGCACTTGGAAGCATTTCATTTTCTAAAAGATCACCGGGTCAAAGAGGAGGTGAATGTTAAGGAAAGGCCCAAGTTCGAAGACCTTTCCCTACAGAAGAAGCTACTCACAAACCACGGTGCCATTGACGGTGTGGAACTGTAGCCATTCAGCACAGGCTGGCGGCCGGACTCCTTCGGCTTCTCGTAGCGACAGTCATGTGCCCGGCAGCATCTGGGGTGAGACAAGTGGGAGATAGGGATGTGCCCGGGAGTCGGTCCCTTGGGAATTTGCTGGGGGACCTTATCCAGGGACTGGAACGCATTCACCTGCCTCCTCCTCTAGGCAAGAAGGCATTGAAGGCAGGGAGGTGAATTATCAACAATATTAAAACTGGTCCTGGTGGCTCATGCCTGCAATCCCAACACTTTGTGAGGATGAGGCAGGAGGATCGCTTCAGTCCAGGAGTTTGAGACCAGCCTGGGCAACATAGGGAGACCTCCTGTGGTTTTTAATTAAAAAAAAAATCTGGGCATGGTGGCATCCACCTGTGGTCCCAGCTACTCAGGAGGGTGGTGGACTGGTTGAGCCCAGGTGATGGAGGCTGCAGTGAGCTGTGATGGAGTCACTGCACCCCAGCCTGGACAACAGAGCGAGACCCCATCTTCTAAAAAAAAATAAAATAAAATAATAAAACAACCAGTAGCATTTCCTGAGCCCTTTCTAGTATCTGTTGCTATCTCATTAGCTACTCGTAGAAACATATGAAGTAAAATAATTGTTGCCCTTTTGTAGGGAAGGGAATGAGATTCCGAGAGGCCAATTTCCCAAACTTAGGCAGCTGGAAAATGATAGACCCAGGACACAAATCTAGGTCCATTCATTCATTTCACACTTTTGACTGAGCACCTACCATGAGCCGGGCACTGTGATGGTCTCGGAGGAGACAGCTGTCTGAAAAAGCAGAGGTAGTCCTTGCTTTCATGGCACCCAGAGGTGGCTGGAGGAGAAATAACATCTGGGCTCAGTCCATGTCCTCAACCACTGCGCAAGGGACAGGAAGGCCTGGATTCTAAGGCCTGAAAGCTCAAGTAAAACGTTTCGGTCTCCCTCTCTCACCGTTGCCATGTGCAAGTGAGGGCTCTGCTGTTGATCAGCTTTGGCCAGTGATGTTCAATTCTGAATCAGCCTTTGGACTTTGACAGGGGAGGCACAGAGCATCAGGGAAGCGGGGACACACTTTGAAATCGGCAAATTCTTGTTCAGTCCTAACTCTGCCCCTTCGAAGCTGCATTGCCTTTGGGAGGTGGTTTAGCAACTCTGGGTCTTGGGCCCTCACTGTCCTCACCTGTCAAATGGGCTGGTATCACTATCTTGTGCATTCCCTGTAAGAATTAAATTAGGTTCATGTGGGGCCTGGTGCAGTGGCTTATGCCTGTAATCCCAGCACTTTGGGAGACTGAGGCAGGCAGATCATGAGGTCAGGAGTTTGAGACCAGCCTGTCCAACATGGTAAAACTCTGTCTCTACCAAAAATGCAAAAATTATCTGGGCATGATGGCGGGCACCTGTAATCCCAACTATTCGAGATGCTTGAACCAGGAGGCGGAGGTTGCAATGAGCCAAGATCACCCTACTGCACTCCAGCCTGGGCGACAGAGCAAGACTCCATGTCACACACACACACACACACACACACACACACACACACACAATTAGGTTCATGTGCCAATCACCAGTCCCAGTGCTTGGCACATAATGGGCATTTCATAAGTGTCAGTTGCCCTTCCAGAGCTCTGAGGTCCTTCCATGGTTCCATGAGCCCAACCCACGAGACTTGAGTTCCAGGAGTGATATTTAAGGCCCCACTGTGGGGACATATATATTTCTCCACACTAGGTTAAATGTGGCAAGGAACATTTCACTTTCTTATTTCTTCAAATGAAATGACATGCAAACTGTCCTGTTTCCTACCTCCCCACACATATACTCACCAGGAGACACCCACCTCTACTTTTTCTAGGAACTCACACTCCCCCACCCCCATCCTTTAGAGTAGGCCTGGAAGCCAGGTTTGTGCCATGCAACCTCGCCCAGATGGACAACCTCTCCGAAGTGGGGCACTTGGGTTCTGTCTCCCAGAATATGGAATTAGGCCTAGTGAGTCAGTTGTGCTGTGCCTATAGTCCTAAAAGCTGGAGGGCTGAAAGCAGAGCACTTTTACTATGAGGATGAAACAGCTTCCAGAGCTCCGGGCAGGACCGACGGCATAATTGCAGAGGCCAAAGCAAAATGAAAGCATGGGGCCCTTTATTAAGAATTTCAAGATGGTGGCAGCAGAGCAGTAAACCACATTTAGGCCCTTAGGAGTGCCAGCCCCTGCAAAACTTTACAGGTCACACACACACTCAAGAAGCTGGCCCTGACACTGGGTTTCTCAAGACCCATCCTCAGAGTCCCCTTCAGTTATTCCTTCCATTAGCCTGAGTCATTTTCTGTTCCTAAAACCCTCTCTCTGGCTTCGAGCATGAACTTTAATGCAAAAGAAATGATAGGTGGCCTCAGAGCCTCTGCACCCACCTGTCAGTGTCATCCACAGGGATCCCTTTGCTCCCAAGCCCACAGTAGCAGCCATATCTGTAATAGGAGAAGAAGGCACTCCACCCCGTGATGTGTTTGACCATCCTCTGACACTGCCAGAAGCTGCTGTGGGTGGGGGCTGCCACTGCCGATGAGGAAACAAGGAAGAAGGACAGTTGCAATGAGCACGATGCTGCCTTGACGTCCCCTCCCCTTACTAGAATGCTTAGCGTTCGGAGTATCACCAGATCTCCAAAATGAAGTGCAAGCAGGCATGACTGGAATCATCACCCCTTTCCTGGGGAAGCAAATAGGCTCAGATCTGCATCTGTAATACAGCTAGTTTTTTGCTAACCCGGATGAATGCCCAGTTTCCATGAGGTTCAGGACAAGGCTCTCCTGTCAACCACAGTCTTCCCCCTCCAACCAGGAAACCACCGTCCTAGGCAGAAACACCCTCGGGTCTGATGCAACATTAATGGGAAAAGTTCAGAGCCAGAAATGCCAGTCCCTGCAGATGTCATCAGGCCTTTGCAGTCTCACAGGAGAAACAGAATACTTTAAAGGGAGGAAAGGTATCCTCGATTCTTTTTTTAAAAATGGCAAGTACACATGAACTCAGCTGTTTTTGCTTCTCCAAGAGGCTTATGGGAGTGGGCACAAATGCATACACAAAGTGGTTTGCTGAAGCATCATCTGTGACATCCAAAAATTGGAAACCACCCACATGTCCACCAACAGGGGGATAATAACAAAATTATGTGTCTCAAAAATAAACTATATTAATAACGCTATCTCTAGGCGATTGGGATGGAAGAGAGAGAAACAGGCAACATTCATTTTATACATGTCTCTGCTGTCTGATGTCTTTTCACAATAACCCTTTCTTTTCTTTTCTTTTTGAGATGGAGTTTCGCTCTTGTTGCTCAGGCTAGAGGGCAGTGATCTGGGATCACTGCAACCTCTGTCTCCTGGGTTCAAGTGATTCTCCTGCATCAGCTTCCTGAGTAGCTGGGAACCTAAGTAGCTCCTGAACCCAGGAGGCAGAGGTTTCAGTGAGCCGCGACTGCGCCACTGCACTCCAGCCCAAGCAATAGTGCAAGACCCCATCTCAAAGAAAAAAAAAGTTTTTGTGACTCAGCTGAAACAGAAGACAAGAAAGTGGATCTGGGCAAACCTCCACTCAACGAATCCAGCAGAAGAGTCTATGAGTCTTCCAACAGACCCCAAACTGGTCCTTTTTCACTTTGTAGAGGTAAGCAATGGGCTCTCCTGGCAGCAATGACTTATAACTACCAATTATCCCATAAGTCACCATAAAAATATCTTTCTGATAAGCATTAATCATTCTTAAATTAGCTAGATATAAATAAAGGCTACTAGCATCCAAAGGAAAACATACTCCTGGGGGTAAGAGGGGTAAAATAGTGGTCAAACTCCCTTTCTAGCAAATGGTTAGCAACCTCTGATTTCCTAGACACTTTATAGGATCCCTGGGTACCTGCAATCCCAGCTACTCAGGAGGCTGACGCAGAGAATTGTTTGAACCCAGGAGACAGAGGTTACAGTGAGCCAAGATCACCACTGCACTCGGGCTTGGGCAACAGAGCAAGACTCCATCTAAAAAAAAAAAAAATCCCAACACTCGGATCAGCCCATTTTATAGCAGAAACAGAAGCAAGAGGACATTGGTGGGCACCAGTTCCATTTCTGATTCTTTTCTGAGTGACCTGTGACTTCCCTCACCTGGTGCCACCTGGAGAAGCCCCCCACCCCACTGACATAGACAAAAGAGAGTAGCTTGCTGCTGTCCCAACAAGCTCTCTACTTACATCACGAGAGGAGGAGGAGGAGGATGGCAATGACCTTCATTCCTGAGGAGACCAGGAGGTCTGAGGTGCCACGGCCACACCTTCACCTGTGTGTGAGGGGTCTCCCAGTTGAGCCTCTGTTCTGGGGCAAAATGACTAAAATGAGGCAGGGGTATTTAAGTGCAAAACCCTGACTGCAGCACCTTGGAAAGCCCTCGGCAGAGAACTCAAAGGGATCATTTTCAAATCTCATTTCCTTTGAATATGGTACCCTTTCTGGCATTTAGACCTGAACATATAAAAATAAGAAGGGTTCCATGGTTTTAAAAGGCAAGTGTTGTTTTCTTTTCAAATCTCTTTCTTTGGCAACACCATCCCCTCTCTTTTGAGGAGTCTGTATTTCTCTGTTCCCGAGTTGGAAAGGCATCTATGCGGTTCGTAATAGAAGTCCCGCACAGGAACGCCCAGCTTGGTCTGCGTCTAGACCCACAGTGCTTTTCTTCCTTGACACCCAGGATTCTTATTCATCAACTTGGTTTCTTCTGTAGAGTGAGACTAGAAATTCCTATCAATAATTTCAAGCCTTTATTAATTCTTTATTAAGAAATTTTAAGGGCTTCACAGGTATTACATGGTTTCATCCTTACAACTCCTTTAGAGGTTCTATTATCATTTGGAAGATGGGTAAACTGAGACCCAGAGAGGCTGAACAAACTCTCACGATCACATAGCTGTCTACGTAGTGGACCCACTGTGGGACCTGCTGGAATAATGAAAGTAAAACTGTTTTGTACTATAAAATGCAGTCACAGGTAAACACAGGGTTCATATTCTCATTAGTGTTGGTCATGATACCCACATCAGAACAGCAGAGAAGAATGCAGGTTGCAGCCCTGCCGTGGAGCTGCCAGGGATCAGTCAATGGCTTTCTTTACATACCACATAAAGTGGTCTTTAGAGGTCCCATCATAAATCAGGCTAAATTCGGTAATGTCAGGACTTGGAGTGTGATACAATTGCTTGGTTGAACCTAGAGAATCTGGCAGTGCAGAGCTTGGGCTAAATTTACACCTAGTGGCAAAGCATCCCAGAAAATTTCAAAATGACCACCCCGCTGCATCCCTGGGAGAGTTAATCAGGGTGTCTTTGCTGTCTTCCTGCTTTGGCAAAATTCTGGTAGATGCTGCGAGGCTGGGCCCTGACCAGGCCTGGCCCCAGCCAGCCTTCACTTCAGCTGCTGCAAGGGATGTTTTTAATTAGGTTCTGTCTCTACGGGCTTGCTTCCTTTTTCTCTTTTGAATCTAAAAAAAAAAGTCATGTGCAGGTTTAGTTCACGAAAAAGGGGCTCAGATCTTTTGAACGAGCAGGTGGTGACACTTTAGAGAGACAAAGAAAGGGACCTGGGTGCATTACTGGTAATGAAATCCAATAGACTCTTATTAAGCACCAACTATGAGCTCTTCTAATGAGAACATTCTAACCCAAGGAAGGCGACCAAGCTGGCTGGAGAGACCAAATAGAGACAGAATACAGCCCCAAAGCCCCATGTGGGCGCAAGTCTATGTTTGGTTCTCCACCGGTTCCCACATGCATCCCTCTTCAGGACTGGGATACAGGTGCTGCTGACACCCTTCCTCACTGGGAACCACCCTCTGCTGCAGGAACTGTGTGGCCCAAGGTTTTAGACCCTCCCAGAGAAGACAGGAGAGGGGTCTCTAGCCAATCCCTGGCTGGGGTGATAGTTTAAAAGGCCATCCCTTGCCTCTTTCAGGATAGCTCTGAAAAGTGGTCCTGGCCCCAGAGCTCCCTGTGGCCTCAGCAACTGCCTCTGTGTGTCACCCTCTCCCTCCATGCCAGTTTCTCTGTGTGTGTGTGTGTGTGTGTGTGTGTGTGTTAGCTTCTCCCTCTGTCAGTTTCTCCCTTGTGTGTCAACTTCTCTCTCTATGTCAGTTTCTGTGCGTGTGTTAGCTTGTCCCTCTATGTCAGCTTCTCCCTCTATGTCGGTTTCTGTGTGTGTTAGCTTCTCCCTCTGTGTCAGCTTCTCCCTCTATGTTGGCTTCTGTGTGTGTGTGTGTGTGTGTGTGTGTGTGTGTGTGTGTGTCAGCTTCTCCCCAGGTCATCTTCTCTCTGTGTGTGTCAGTTTCTCCTTCTGTGCCAGCTTCTCCCTCTATACCAGTTTCTTCACTGTGTGTCAGCTTCTCCCTCTGTCAACTTCTCCCTTCCGTGTCAGCTTCCCCCTCTCCCCAGTCTCCCCTTGCTCACTTCCCGACAGCTGTGTCTCCTTGAGTCTCCCAGCAACATACTTCTTTGTGTCAGAGTCTGTTTCTAGGGAGCTCAATCTGCATCCATGTGGAGTAATGAGCATTGCTCCAGTTGTTGCATAAATAAATGTCTCTGAGCTCAGAGGAAGGAGCAGTGAACTCTCTTGGGACGGTCACAGAAAGCTTCCCAAGGGAGGTGGCATCTGAGAAGGCCTTGAATTCCCTTAAGTTTATGCTCTGCTCCTGTTTACCCCTCATTGCAACCCTACCAGGCAGGTTCTATCGCATTCACATTTGACAGAGGAGACCCAGTCTCAGAGAGGGGGAAGTAACCTGAAAAAATCTACACAGCTACGAAGTGGGCCAGGACTTAAACTCTGGTCCCTCGCTCCAAATCCAGTGCTCTTCCCCCTTGCCAGTCTCCCTGCCCAGACATTCATGTGGCATTTTGAAGGTTTGAGGGCATTTTCATGCACTGACCTTCACAGCTATGATTCAGGCATGGTTCTCTCCATTTGACAAGTCATCGGGGGCTGCTTAGGACTGTGCTGAAGCTAAACCAGGAGCACAGGACCTGAGGGCCAGAGGCTGGATGAGGGGCACGAATGTAGAAAGTACGGCATTGCCTCCCATGCCAGCCCCTAGGGCAGCAGCCAGCAAGTTGTGCAGTCCCTAGGAGCTACTGTCTGGGTCATTTCCTGGACCCATCAATTCAGCTTTCATCAACAGTGATGAAACACTGGTTGGCTTTTCTTCCCATAGAGAAAATAAGATGGATGGAGCCTGCAAGCTCATTAAGGACAGAGGTCATGTCTGTTCTGTTCACTTCTTTATCCCCAGTGTCTTCCTAGCACAGTGCCTGGCGCAAACTAGCACTAAGGATGATGATGGCTAATGTATATATCATATTTATGTTATTTATGCCTTGCAGGGGTTCTGAGCACTTTACATATATTTACTCACTAAATCTTACATCCCCCAGCTGGATAAATGCCATTATTACCCTCATTTGGCAAATAAGGAAACTAGGCATGGAAAGATGGGCAGTAAATAAATATTTGAGGCATGAATGAATGAATAAATAGTCTTATCATACTTCAAGTCACAGAAATAAAAACAATCCCTGCAGCCCCTGGAGTACCAACAGGAGGCTAAGCACAGGAAGTGAATTAGGATTCTCTTAGAATCTTTCTGAACCCTCCCAATGAGGCATATACAATTAATTCTAGTTTACCAATAAGAGTAATTGAAGCTGGCAGAGGTCAGGTCATTTACCCTGCAAACTGACAGGTCTTGGACTTAACCCCAGGTGTGTCTGACTCCAAAGCTGGCCCTCCTAACCTTTGAAAGCTCTCTTGCTTCGGTGCCTATCCAAAACACCGAGAAGGCAAAACCCAAAACAACCCAAGCAGCAAAGCAGGTATCACTATACTCTTCGACTCTTATTTTAGACACAGTTCTAAGAAGCTGCTCGGCTTCACTTCTCAGGTCCAGCAGCTGCAGAGGAATGGTGTCAGAGCGGCTTCTTTCTTACAGGAAGGTAAGAGGGGGTGATTAAAGTGATAAACAATGAAGCCTAGGAGCCTGGGCCACTGTGTGTTGGGGCAGCTGGGTCTATCCACATCAAAATAGTGCACCTGGAGCACAATTATTGACCGTGAGTTGCCAAGGAGGGTAGCATTGTGCAAGAAACTGCAAGGGTGGAGGGCGATTAACTCAGGAGCCACGTCAAAGAAGAGGGCTGGAGCTGTTCTGCCCCTTCCTGACAGATTTAAACCATCCGAGCCTCAGCTTCTTCCACCAGGGAGGTGGAGACAGTGATTCTAGCCCCCCACAGAATGCCGGCAAGATTCAACAAGCTCTTGAAGGTGAAAACACTTGGTCAACAGTAGCCAAGGCAAGTTCCAGAGTTTGATGTGTTCTGCTTAACAAGACTGGAAAGTAGGCTATACATTTTTTGGATATTTTCCAGCAATACAGGGAAAATCATAAAAAGCCGTGGCACAGTCACGCACCATATAAGGAGATTTTCGTCTAATGACAGACCACACATATGATAGTGGTCCCATAAGATTATATTGCAGCTGCCTCTAGAGGCATACCATTTTTTATCTTTTATACCGTATTTTAAATTGTACCTTTTCTGTGTTTAGATCTGTTTGGTTACACAAATACTACTGTGCTACAATTGCCACTGTGTTACAGTATTCAGAGTAATAACAGGCTGTACAGGTCTGTGGCCTAGGAGCAGTAAGCGACACCATATCATCTAGGTGTGTAGTAGGCGAGACCCATCTAGGTTTGGGTAAGCACACTCCACGATGTTTGTACAATGACGGAATCACCTAGCAATGAAGTTCTCAGCGTGTATCCCCATTGTTAAGTTTCATCATCCAGAAAGTTCCCTCTTGTAGGTCCCCTCAGGAAGCTGATCACAGGAGCCATGACTAATTGTCAGCCTCTTGGCCTTGTTACTAGACTATCCACCTGGTTCGCCTTCTGCTTAAAGGTTACCCATGATCTCAATCCACATGTCTAATGAGATCAAGGACAGGCAGAGCAGGACACGGGTATAGACTCTGAAATCTAGAAGTCACTCATTCAAAATGGGGCCACTCTGTGGGGACAAGCTGCTGAAAAACTGGGGCTCCCGCCTTCAGCCAGCCCCTGGGGAAGTCATTTGGACTCCAAGCCAAATATGGGTGGGAAGGATACCAATTAGCAGCTTGCTGGATCGCTCAGTGGAAAGGCTAGACTTGGAATCAGCAACACCATCATCATTAACTTATTCTCACTTGCTGAGCACCTATCACAAAGTAAGCATTGTGTGGGCAAAGCAGGGGATTCTGAGACAGGCAAGTTCCTGCCTTCAAGGAGCTCCAAACTTACTGGAGGAGGTGCACACTCAGCCTCACAACAATCCTGTGCTTATCATCTCCCTTCTAGAGGTGTGGAAACGGAGGACATCTAGCCAAGGTAAATCATTTACCCAGGATCCTCAGCTGGCAAGTGGTGGAGCCAGGATTCAAACTCAAGCTTTGGCTTTAGAGGCCACGCCTGCGGTCCCTACAACCAGCGCAATGGACAACGCAGATAAGTGCCGTGGGGGAACACGCAGGTGAGGAACTTGGGGGTGGGACTCGGGTCCAGGGTGGGCTGTGGAAACAGCTGGATATGGGTTGTAAAGTTGCTCTGCTGCTCATTCACTGTGGGGAACCCTGAGGCTCCACTGTTTTCTAAAGCAAAGGATGGCGATGATGCCTCCATGGAGAAGCGTCGTGCAGATGAAAGGAGCCAACCTAGGGAGGGTGCACAGTGCCATCTTGGGCATGTTCCCCTGGACCAAAGGGGTCCTGAGAGAGCACAGAAGGTTTTGTGGGGAGGCTGTGGCCAGGAAAGGCCTTCACAGAAGAGGTGGCTTTTAAGATGGGGCTTGAAGGATCAGTCAGTTTGGCTTAACTTCAAGGAAGGGGGCAAGGTGGGGCAGGCATGAGCAAAGACACTGGAGATGAAAAAGCTGGGGCCATTTGGGGAGCAGGCTGGCTGCAGCCCAGGGAGAGAGCCGGAGAGCAGAGCAAGGCATGTCTGTAAAGGAAGCTGAGTCCACATTTCTGCTAGAAGGGCAATGACCTCTGCCCATGTTTCCTGAGACCCACTCTGCGTATGTGCCTGACACCAGCCATTATTGGGTCCATTCTTTGAAGACATCCTCTATATAGAAGGTCGGGGACAAAGACAGCAGAGTCACAGCAATGAACCGACAGCTTCCTTTCCTCCTCTTCTGCCTCCCCCGGGGTTGTGCATTACGCAACACTGGAGCGCGAAAGGCCTGTACTGCGACATTAAACCGACCGCCATTTCACTGTGCACTGGCAAAGGCGTGCGCATAGACGCGCATGCGCTCACACACACACACAGACACACACGCGCGGGGTGAGAAGCCAATTTGATTCTCCAAAGGATTGCATAATTCTTAGGTGATTCTAAAATAGCTAATGAAGAATCCACTCTAATCTTTTTAGGGGTGGGCGCTGAAGGGCTGAAGAGCATTGCTAAGACACTTTGACAGAATCATTAACAAAAAATAAGCCGCCAGCACTCAGTTGCAAAAGCAGCAGCTCCTGAAACCACCATCTTCTACACATTCCGAGGGCCACAGAAGGCTTCTGGATGACCAGAGTGAGTGAGGGGGCAAGCCAAACGAGAGGCCTGCCCAGCCCAGGCCCTCCCCACCAACTCCCACGGGTCACAGTCTTCCCCTCTGAGATGAGCAGAACCACCACCACTGAAATGATCTTTCACGGCCCCAAAGAACTGCCCTGTCTGTGCCAGTCACTTGGCACTTAATTGTGTCCAGCCTGTGCCTGCTATTCCACCCTGGGCTCAAACTGTATTGAAAATAAACTGATTTATAACTCTGCCAGTGCGCAATGCATCCTCCCAACTGGACTGTGAACCTCTTGTAAGACAGTTAGAACTGTGCTCCCCTCACAATCCTGTGTCCACAAGTCTGGGACAGACCAGATCACAAATATTTTGCCACATGCTAGGTAATGAATCTATGGTTTTTTTGTTTGTTTTTGGAGAGATGGTGTCTCGCCATGTTGCCTGTGGCTGGTCTCAAAACTCCTGGCTTCAAGTGATCCTCCCGTCTTGGTCTGTCAAAGTGCTGGGATTCCAGGCATGAGTCACCTGGTTTGGTCTGAATCTATGGCTCTTGTATGTCTACTAACATTATCTTCTAACGATACTCTCAGTAAATTATTCATCTGTGTATCCCGTGAGTCTAGAACAGAGCTTGTAAGACAGCAGTCCAGTTAAGACTTCTTTTGAAGAAATCTTAATTCCACCTTGGAAGAAAGGCTTCATCCAAGAGGTTGGGATCTCAAGGGTGAATGGGAATTAGGCAGATGAGGGAGGCTCGGGAGGAATCATCAGGGGTCAGAGGGAGTGTGAGGGTGTTGTATATGTGACTGTGTGGCCAGAAATGGTCCGAGCACCCATGGAGGAGCAATTAACCTTGAAGAGAATCAGAAGACATTAGAACTGGAGGGAGTGAGGAAAGCAAGGAAGCGTAGGCAGGCAGGTTTGCAGGTCTGATGTCAGAAGGCTGAGGATGTTTCCATATGATGGCTTCTATTTTCTCTCTGAAGATGGCAGTAAAGGTATCTTCTAAGGAGGAGGAGGGAAGGAGGTGGGAGGGGGAAAGATGGGAGGTTTGGGGAGCAAAAACCAAGTTTTGAAATAGCCATTGAGAAGAAAGGAGAGGCCGCGTGAGGTGGCTCATGTCTGGTAATCCCAGCACTTTGGGAGGCTGAGGCTGGAGGATCACTTGAACCCAAGACTTCAAGACCAGCCTCAGCAACATGGCAGAACCCCACTCTGCAAAAATTACTAAAAATTAGCCAGGCATGGCAGTGCATGCTTGTAGTCCCAGCTACTCGGGAGCCTGTGATTGCACCACTGCACTCTAGCCTGGGTGAATGGGCGAGACCCTGTCTCACCTTCCAAAAACAAAAAGGAAGAAAAGAGAACCCAGGGGTGGGGATGGAAGTGCAGGACTGAGGGTCTAATTGAGGTTGGAGACTCCGTGTTTCTGTTACACCAAGGTGTGTGGCTGGCAAGATTTCTTCAGTACCCATGTGTTGGTGAACTGATTTGGCTTGGGGTTTCATCGGATGGAAGGAGGCCTTTGAGAATGTGAAGGTAATGGGCCAGGATGGGGAAGAAACAGGTGGATGGAGAGGTGGAAAGCAGACAGCAATGGACAGGAAGCCCAAAGATGGTGGAAAACTTACCAGAAGTGACTCAAGTAGCTGGAAGTGGAAGAGATTGTGGCTGGGGCCATCAGAGGAGGTGTCGATGCTGTTGATAAGGTTCCCAATGTGGCCCCGAGGTGGGAGGCTGATGTGAACATGAGGAGGTCAAGAAACTGGTGCTGAAAGCCCTGTACTGAGAAGGGGGCCCTGCTCCCCGAAACTCAAACAGATACCCTAGAAGCATCCACCCAGAGTCCAGAGCTCCGGGAATGCATCAGTCCCACAACCTCATTTTAAAACCAGGGACACTGAAAGGGTCCGGACCTGACCCAAGGTGACGAACGAGGTTTGATACTAATGGGGCCACTCCCCGTTCCACCACGCCCAGGCCGGGGCTCTCCTTCCCCTGGACACTCTCCTTCCCCTGGACACTCTCCTTCCCCTGGACACTCTCCCCCAGAAAGAAGCAGAGGCAGGCGATGCTAGGAAGAGTAGGAGAGAAGGAGGCTGCGGGTCCTTGTCGCCTCCAGGCGGGGCATGGCAGCTCGCAATCCACTGACCTGGGGCTCAGGGCCTCCGCCCTCCCGGCCTAGCGGCGCCACCCTATCCCACCCGACTCAGGCCACTTCCGGTCGGTAGGTCACGCCGGAAGCACGTGGCCCCCCACCCCGCGGCGTTGCCGGGGAGACCAGGGCTGTTTACCAGCGGGACAGAGCCGGGCACAGGCGGCGGATGGAGCCGAACGGCGAGGTGAGAGCGGCTGCCCAACCCGCCTCAGCCCCTGGCAGGTCCAGGGACCGGCAGGCCAGTCCCTTGAGCTCCCAGCAGGTCGCCCCCTGCAGGTCACTGGGGACGCGACCCGCCCCCAGGGACGCGAACCCCTGGAGACAGGTGAGGGGCCTGAATAAAAGTCTGCTCCCTGAGGCAAAGCAAGCCTGTCCAGAGCTGACCTTTACCAAAATAGGATGACGCCCGGGCTCTGCAGAAGCTGAGTAGCCTGTGCAACCGCTGGGCCATGCCCTCCAGGCTGGGGACACAGACCCTGGGAGAGAAAAGGACATGGCAGTCTCGGGCAGGGCAGAGACCCTAACCAGATCGACCCTCCCTCAGACCTGTGCTCTTTCACTTAAGTCAGTTCTCACTTTCTAAACGCTCTTTCTCACCCCTCCCCCAGATCCCTCCCCTGCCCCTTAAGCCTGTTGCCTTCTAGGGTGCTGGCACATGGACCTAAATGAGTTATCCCCACCACCTCCCTGCCTTTCTGACGCTGGAATCATCTCCAGTTCTCTTTCCAAACATTTGATCACTTGGTGGCTTGTGGTTCAGTGTGGCACTCTGTATAGGACCGTGTATTCTAATGATTAGTTTAGGGCAGAACTGGCAATGGTACCAGAGTTTTTTCATTCTCAAGCCAACTACCATCTCCTGTTGGTTCTTCAGAGCATTTTTATCCTGAAAGCCTGGTGGGGGTGGGTTGGGGGGGGGAATGGCAATGGATAGGATTAACTGATACAGTTTTAAAAGACCAATTCAAATGTATGCATCTTGGTATATACCAGCAGATGGTATGTAGGTGGTTATATTTTACTGCATGTACTGTAGGCTTAGATTTGGGTTGTGAGTGAAATGGGGTGGTCTGACCCTGTGGTGGCTGGTGGGTACCCTTAGAAAGCAGGAGCCCTGCTTTAGCTTCTCCCATCCACATTTCCTTCTTTCTAGTTGGTCTGGTAACGAATCTGAAGGAATGGGCACCTGCCCTTCTGACAACTTCTTGGAAACAGTTAGCAGTGTTTGCTTCCTGACTCCTAGCAGGCCTCTGGGGTGCAGCTATTGTGTTTAAGTAAACAGGCCACTCGCCTATTCAGCTTGGCAGCTTGGTAGATGCCTATGCCTAGATCTTGTCAAATCACTTTGTGGTTGACTGGCTGCCAGGCCTAGAGGTGGTGAAATGAACTGAGCAGGGATAATGATGGCTGCTTCTAGGAGCCTTCCTGGACTGAGGGTGGCAGAGTTCGGACCCGAGGTGTGAATATCAAGGCACGGTTGGCCCAGATCCCCAAACACCTGTTTCCCCCACCACCCCATCCCTATGTGATGGATGCTAGGGAGAGCTGGTGTTCCCTCCGTGTAACAGATGGTCCCTGCGCTCGGGAGGAGGCAGTGGGTTATGAAAGCAGGTTGGATATAATGGTTTTACCTGAAGGAGGTGTTAGTCTCTAAATAACCATGAGTGGGTTCCTAGGAATTAGTCATAATTGAGGTTTTTCTCTGAGACAGCTCACAGTCATGTTATCTTATGACCAGGGTGTCTTGAATATGACACCCCCTGAACATGGATAATTATATAGTACCAAAAGGTATAGAAAGTGCATGCACATACTCAAGTTTTACTGTTAAAAATAATCCCTGCAGAGCGCCTGTGAGAACACATGACTCTCCTCATCAAAGTTGTTAAGGAAGAGGTTTCTAAGTTACCAAACTCACTGACAGTTAAACCTTCCTGAGGCATGTGTGGGCGTTGGAAGCCAAGCCTGTGATAATTCTGCAGAAGCTGTGGCAAATTAATAGCCATTCCACAAGTGGGGAGGGTGGCCTGAGAGGGGCGTGGGTTTGCCTGTGGGGCTTATCTTTGGCAGAACAGTTGGACAGCTATGACCTTCTCCTGCCATCCTGAGTGAAAGTGCAGAGCTGCTAATTGCCAGAGAAAGACTTGAGAATGAGACTAAAGGGGGAAAAACACATTCTTCACAGTTGATCAGAAAATAGATGAAATTAACAAGGAGATGGGCAGCCTTTTTTGATGCCAAAACTTTGCTAAGGAGAAGCCTCCTGAGCTACTAGCAGCCAGACTGGGTGTGAAAGATGAGGGAGACATGGAAAATGGGAGTGGAGAGAGACTCAGGCTGTGAGTAGAATGCAGCAGACATAGAGGGCTTTAAAATTTTTTTAAAAAGGTAGCATTGTCCAAGATTTGGAATGAAGCAGAACATCGGGAATATACAGGGATATTGTGTTTTGTTTGGTCCTGGGGTGAATGGGGATGAAGCAGATACTCCCTAAAATTAGGCAGCAGTGGTCATATGCACAGAATGGTAAGGTTAGAATACAAAGCCCGAGAGGCTCAGGTTACGTTGTTCAAGATTTTGTGTTGAAAGGAGTGCACTTGCAGGAAGTGCAAATCATTCTGCAGGAAGTGAATTTGAGGCAAGTGAAAGTGTGGAATTAGAAGAGAACAATTCAGGATTTTTTTTTCACATGTTTTTGAGGCAACTGCATAGGTGGTAGCTCATAGCAGTCCACCTCCCTGCATTTCTGCGCAGTGGACAGGGCGGGTGTGAGTTTCAGGACTCACCCAGCTGGTTCCGTAGGAGTAGAATCACTGAGGACACGGGGAAAGTTCTAAAGCAAAACAAGTAAGGCTTTTGAACTTAGCCTAACAGAGAGCACTGAACAGACAGACAACCCAAAGCAAAAACAAAAACAAACAAAACCCTTAACATTTCATGAAGTCTCTACCATGCTGTAAGTCTGGTGCTTCCTGCCTTACCTACATTATTTCATGTTATTATTCTTGTGCTACAGACAAAAAGACTGATGTTTCGAGGTATTTAAGTAATAGCTCGAAGATCATTTAGCTAATTTAATAGTTGAGGAAAGTTTTGTGCCGGAAAGGTAGAGTGAGTGCCCCTTGGTCACGTAGCTAGCCAGTGACAGAGAAGCTGAAATTGAATTCAGGTCATGTGACACCCAGTTCTCTGTCCCTTGCACCCAAATATGCTGTTTTTTGGGACCATGTATCACTGGGAAGTCACCAGAAGGTCTTTAGAAGGCTAGGAGAGGCCAGGTCAGCTTGTGAGTGGAGAAGGCAGGAGTCACAGTGGTGGTCAGGATTCAGGGGGAGGCAGGGGACCCAACAAGACATTTGCAATGTTTGGGGAAAGATGGAACTGGAGATTGGGAGGAGGAGGTGGTGGTAATAGTGTTCGTGAAGTGGCCACCAAGATGGCAATGAAAGAGGAGGTGTCATGGTATAGCAATTCCGGGTCTGCACAGAGAAATGTTCACGCCTCCCACCATATTTCATTTCATTGCTTCTGGTGGATTTAACGAGCCCTCACATAGACTTTTGGTGGGAGATCCAAACAGAGGCCCCAGGGTGCCTATAAGGTACCTGGGAAGACAGAAATGTGAACAGCTTGGGAGGCTCAGGCACAAGAATAGCTTGAACCTGGAAGGTGGAGACTGCAGTGAACTGAGATTGTGCCACTGCATTGCAGCCTAAGTGATGGAGTGAGACTCTGTCTCAAAAATAAAAAAAAGAAGAAAAAGTGAACAGCTAGCAGACATACAGAATGTAAGGTGCTGGGAGGGCACCAAGGCTGCTCCTCAGGAAGCAGCTTGTATGGGTACAGAGGACCCAGGACCGCGTGTCACAAGACCCGGGTCCTGTCTCCAGCTCTGCCACCAGCTGGCTGTGTGACCATCAGGAAATCACTCTATCTTTCTGGCTCATACATCTGTAGAATTAGCATGTGCCCAGAGTTGCTATAAGCCAGGGGTCAACAAATGGCGGCCCACAGGCCAAATCCAGCCTTGTCACCTATTTTGTGTGGCTCGTGTACTAAGAATAGCTTTCACATTTTTAAATCATTGAAAAAGAATCAGAGAATATTTTGTGACACATGAAAATTATCTGAAATTCAAATTTCAGAGTCCAAAAATGAAGTTTTGTTGAAACACAGCAGGTTGTCTGGTTTTTACCAGAAACTTCCTCCCTCCTGAAAGAATAAGCATTAATCCCCCACCTCAGTCACTCTCTGGTACAAAGTTTCTGTTTTCTTCACAGCAGTTGTTACTCTTTGAAGTATCTGTTTACTTGTGTTTGAACCCCTGTCTCTCCTCACTATAGTAATTTACATTGCAAGGACCTGGGTTCGCTGATCTCTCCCAGGTGCCTAAAATAAATGAATGCATGCTGGAATGAATACATTGCAGCTGGCACCCCTTTCTCAATGCCAGAAATGTGTGCTTATTCTGGACACTCAGGGAGGGAATGGCTTGGATCTAGAAGTCCCAGGAAGTTTAACCCATGTCCTCCTGTTTTTCTCCTGCTCCCTTAGGGGTCTTGAGTAGCAATGGCCACAGAAGCCCCTGTGAATACAGCGCCACCTGAGTGTAGCACTGTCATCAGCACAGCAGCTGACAACCTCATTTGGCAGCCAAACTCACTGAGTATGCACATGATAAGGCCCAAGTCTGCCAAGGGACGAACAAGACCGAGTCTGCAAAAACCCCAGGGCACGGAGGTGTGCTCTCGTCGCATACCATTTTCTCCGCCTCCAGCCATTCCCTATGAGTCTCCAAGCAGCCAAAAACCAGGAGCCTGTGCACCGAAATCTCCAAGCCAGAGAGTCTCTGATGAGATCCCTGAGCTGCTGCAGCAAGTGCCCATTGGGGCTTCCTCTTCTCTCAATAAGTACCCAGTCCTTCCTTCCATCAACAGGAAGAACCTGGAGGAGGAGGCTGTGGAAACAGTCGCTGAAAAGGCCAGCTCACTGCAACTGAGCAGCATCCGGGCTCTCTACCAAGAGGAGACCTGCACCATGAAGACAAGTGAAGAAGATTCCAGAGCTCGAGCTTGTGCTGTAGAGAGGAAATTCAAGAGACAAGGCTCTTGCAGGGCTGAAAACATGGAGGAACCATCGGACCAAGAACCAAGGTTGCTGCTTGCCGTCAGATCGCCAACAGGCCAAAGGTTTGTACGCCATTTCCGGCCAACTGATGATTTGCAAACCGTTGTTGCTGTGGCCGAACAGAAGAACAAAACCTCCTACCAACACTGCAGCATTGAAACAATGGAGGTGCCCAGGAGATGTTTTTCTGACCTCACCAAATCTCTGCAAGAGTGCAGGATCCCCCACAAGTCTGTGCTGGGCATCTCGCTGGAAGACAGGGAAGGGTGGCCCTGAGTCCACAGCCAGCCAGCTGGGGTCCTGGGTCTCTGAGCAAGGAGCATGCTCGGGCTTTGTAGCCTCCCAAGCAGCCTGTTTCAAGTGCCATATGGACCTGGTGCAGCTGGGAAGCTTGGGACTCTCATCTCCACTGTGTGTCCTCTGAAGCAGTGAAATCTGTGCCGAGTGCGCTAAGAAGGCTCCCTTCCTGCTGTTCCATTCTCTCCACCAGCAGAATAAACTGGCAAGTTACCAAGGCTGTTCCTGAAACAGCAGTGATCACGACTTCTCCTTTCCAGAGTTTTGGGTCCTTCTAAACTAACGGTCCCTAACTAAACTAAGCAGGTAAAGGAACACCTGCTTGCCTTTACCGTGAACTCTGATTCTCTTGCAATGCTTTCCTTTCTGTATTTGATGCAGGATCAAACACTTCCCAGAGGGATTCTGGGAGTTCTAAATATCCAGGGTGTAGGAACTATCTAACTGGCATTTGTGTTTCTTGCGAGTATTTTAAAGAAACAGGCCATCAACCCCGTCTTTGGAAGTAGCCCCTTGGCCATCCCACGGTCAGTTTCTTGGGGATTACTATTTGTGTAAGCTGGCATCAAAGAGAAGAATGGGTCTTCTTCCCCAAAACATCAGCATTTCTGAAACAGTCCTAAAGCTGGAAAGTAAGTTGCTTCCATGAGCATGGATTGCCCAGTAGCTACTTTTTTACCACTGACTAGGTTTACAACTTCTAGTGCTACTCTCTGTGGGCAGACTTCTTCCAAAACAGAAAAACCAGTGCAATCTGATTTCTTTTGCTTTTGTCAGTAATGGAATCAAATTTTGTTTTTAAAACGTACAAACCTATAAGTCTAAACAGGTTTGTACAGACAGCCTCCTTGGCTTATCTGGGGTGGAGCAACTGTTTTATTCCCCAGTTCCAGTGTGTTGCCCACTTCCAACGTGGAATGTCCTTTGGAGCTGTGACAGAGGTGCCTGTTCTGACTTAGAACCTCTGGAGGAGGAGAGGGTACCTTGGTCTGGTGTTACTTTGCTGTGCCTGTGCTGAGAGACCACATGCCCAAGCATCTGGTTGACCGGCCTGAAGTACATCAGCCTGTCTCAGCCTGAGCTGCTTTGAAGACGGTGGGGTCTTGTGTTTCCAACTTCGAAGTGGTGATGTGGACAATTTGCCAACGTTCTCCTCTACTGCAAGTTCAGCCAGACTCCACCACTCATCTGATCCCTTTTATGGCCAAATCATCATTCAGAGTAGGGAACACTCAGACATTCTGGGCATGTTGTTCCTCCAGAAGCCCTGAGTTCCGGTATGTGCCCCTGCCTCCTGGGTACACGAAGAGAAGGCAGGAATCAGGAGTTCCAGAAGCATATACACATGGCTACCCCAGCAACAAGTGCCTCCTGTGCTCAGATAAGGTGCATGGTGGGGAGGCGTGGCATTGGAGATGGGCACCACTGCCGTTTGCTCAGAAGAAGGCTGGCCTCATCCTAACTGCATCCTACACCGCCCAGATCACCTAGAATAGGTTATTTCTGAACGTTTTACAGAATTTCTTAATACCATCCTGGTTTGGTCAGCCATTCCTTTGATTGGAAAGGTCAGCTGGTGCCACTGGTGCCTCGGGCTCGCCCACACAACTGGTCACCTCTTCCCGTTAGTGACTGCAGCCAACGGAACTTGAGCCCAGCATCTAAAGAGTACAGGAATTTCACTTCCCACCAGGACTCAAGCACATAACTCTGCCTCTGATCTAGGAGGCTGGGGGAAGAGCCTCCCATAAAATCACACCTACTCTGTGGTAAGAATAAAATCCCACCCACCTGGGACTTGGTAATTTTTCCAGACAGGAAAGCTTTAGAAAAACTTGAGTGAAATGGAGCAAGCTTGAAGAAGTTAGAATCTTCTGCACTTAGGGTTTGCTGCTGCTGCTGCTGGTGAGCTTAGAATTTGGGGGCTGGGAAAAAGTGGAAGGCATGAAGCATAGAAATATTTTAGGATATGTTAATAAAGCTAGACTCAAACCATCATAATAATTTTTTTGGACAAAAATGATGATGCTAACAATAAAAATCAACTTGTGTGAAACTGAGTCAATGGAGAAAGCATCTTGTATTTTAGCCTAAGACTCGGCTACCACACACAACTGGACAGAGGGGTGTGTTACCCTGATCTTCAGTTTTCTCGTTGGGAAACCTCTACTGTTAAAACCAAGTCCTCCTCCCCAGACACTTCAGATGCCCCCTGCAGAAGCTCTGGGGCTCCTGCTCTCACCTTCCGTCACAGCACTTAGCTTGTCTGGATAAGAGTCACCTGAATGTTTCCTACACATCATTCCAAGTACTCTGATTTTGAGCGTTGGCAAGAACCAACTAAATCAGAATTCCGAGTTCCTGATGGCTCTGCATGTGCAGCTGAGGACCCCTGTCCTAAATGGACTCAACTGGCCTAGTGTACTCTTCTTGGTGGCTTTGAGTGGGTCAGCCTTGCCCAATTTGGGATCACAGACCTTAGTTATTCATTTAACCAATGGTCATTGAGGGCTTACCCGGTGCCATACTTCAAGACAAGCATGGGTGTCCTGGCAAGAAAGTATTGGCAGGAAAACATGAACCCACCATTGGACTCTCAACTCAAACCCTACTGAAGTCAGTGGCTATAGCTTTATCCGTGAAGGACCCCAGAGTGAGGATCCCACATTATTACTACTGGCTCTTCTCCCCACCTTCTGGCAATGCTAAGGAAACCCTTCCCGGCTTTTCCTAGTGATGGAGTAGGAACTTTGCATAGGACAAAGCTTCATGGTAGGTTATTCCAATATATTGCCTGATAAAGTCCAATAGGTAAATTAGTCTTGGCAGCAGAAGGAACAGCAGGAGAAGTAAGTGACTCATCATCTAGAATCCAGAAAATTTGCACCAACAGATGGCAGGTGGTTATAACACACAGTTCTTGTCCTGAGAGTGTCTGGGGACCCAGCCAACAGCCGTCAAGCCAGGGCAGTCCTGCAGAAGAGATGGCTTGTGAACATGACTGTGGACTCACAGTCACCCCAGAGCACCCACATAAAATGCTTCACAGACAGAGACACTAAGCGCGGCCTTGAGGCATTCATTTCAATTAATAACCTTACAGACTAGAGCCAGATCCCCCCACATCACAAAAGCACGCACTCGAGGAATGAAGCTTTGCTTTTGCTCATGCTCTTACCTGCCATTTTAAATGGGTGTCTAATGTCAGATAAAGCCACCCTGCCTCTTGGGACAAAGATGTTTCTCTTCACACAGTTTTAAAAACAAAGCCCTCATAATAAGTTTGAATAAAAGAGCCTTTTACACAGTAAGAGGATCTACTTTTCTACCTTTTAAATGGAATAATGAAGAAAGGTGTATTAATTTGCTTTAGCGTTAGTTTAGAAGTCATTCTGAGAATGAAGCAGGAACATCTGTTTTCTTAGTCCACAAAGGCAACACCCCACAATAAAGTTCAAAGTTCACGAGCCTATTGACTCTCATCTGAAAACCAGAACCAACCAAACCCCATCATATAACAGGAAAGTCCTGAGGTCACTTCAGAGGAGTTAGCAATCAAGAGAACAGACTTTTGGTGACTCAGTTACCGACACACAAGATAGCAACTCATAAAACTAAAATTGGGTGGTTTATTTTTTGTCTACACTGGTGGCGTGCCACTTTCCTGATTAGGGAAGCTTCTCCCAGCCCTTTCTGACGTTCGTCTGTGTTCCTTTACGTTCAAACAGTTTAGGAAGCAGCAGCCCTCCTAACAGTCGACGCGGAAGCACAAATCTCTGGAGGTATTTTTGGACACACTTAAATCTTATCCCAAGAGGCTGAACGACTGTGGAGACAAATGCCCAGGGGTAAAACTGCGCAAGCCTCATTCAGACTGGCCTGCTCAGAGGCGCCCTCTGGCTGCCGTGTTGAGGGGCTGGGGTGGAAGATGGAAGACCAGGTGCTGGAGCTGTATGACTATGACCCAGCGAAAGGTGATGGTGGTTCGGGCCAGGGTGGTAGCCAGAGATGTCATGAGAGGTGGCCAGATTCTGGACATATAATCCATTTTCTTAAGGGAAAAAAAAGGATAGTTTGACGAGTTGGGATTTACCCAAGTGGACTTAGCTTGACCAATATTGCCAACGTGGATTGTTTCTGCAAAAACAAACATGCAAACAAACACCATGGCAGCAAAGCACATGCCAGGTGGGGAAAAGACACTGACCGGCAGGAATATTCACATCCAGGAAATGCAGGAGTGTTTTTGGACACAGTGTACAGAGAAAACCAAAGCTATTCATTGTTTTAATTAAGAGAGAAAACTAACGTCACTGTTTCACTTAATGTTTAGGTGTAAGTTAAAAGTAATTACCATCTAACTCTAGGGGTTTGTGATATGATTGCTGACCAAGGTTACTTAATAAGGAATCTTTGTTCCAGTTAAATACATTGTTTATCTCTATCTCCCATCCTTCATCCCTCCTGTTCTTGCTACCTTTCCTTCCATTTATCCCAATCCAGCAGATGACTGGGGATGCATTTCTTCTTGGGAGGACAAATGAAGCCATCATTCTAGGGTCTAATTAATAAAGCTCCTAGTTTCATAATGTTCGTGCCCACCTCATGTTTATATAGGGGAATCTGTGCAGTGGGGCCTTTTTGTGACCGGCTAAGAGCTGCGTCTCTCTGACATTTATCCTCTTTGACAGTAGGTGTCATGGGTCCACTCTGGCTGGTGAGCGCCTCCAGCAGATAGCCTGGGTCTGCTCTAGCTCTAGCCACTGTTAACAAGAATGGCCAGCCACCTGCAGACAAAACGCTGGGAGAATGGCGGGAGCTCCCACCTGCCAACTGGGACATATTGTCTGGAAAGTGCTGCTCCCCATCCCTCCCCCTGTATACAACCCTGGGATCCTGCAGATGTCAGACCAGACCAGATGTAAGTATACCAGGGCCTGAAGACTCTGGATCTGGGCTCTTGGCCACTCTGTAGAATTTCCCCAGCCCCGGCCTGGACCTCAGCTCACTCTTTTCCTTCCTTTTTTTTTCCTTTTGTCATCCAGGCTGGAGTGCAGTGGCATGATCTCAGCTCACTGCAACCTTGGCCTCCTGGGTTCAAGCGATTCTCCCACCTCAGCTTCCCAAGTAGCTGAGACTACAGCTGCGCACCACCATGCCTAGCTAACTTTTTGTAGTTTCATAGAGTGTTGTCCAGGGGACAACACTGCTCCTGAGCTCAGGTAATCGGCCCACCTCAGCCTCCCAAAGTGCTAGGATTACAGGCTCGAGCCACCGCACCCGGCACTCTATTCCTTCTTAATGGAGTTCCCAGCAGGCCGTCATCTGGTTCAAATCATCTGTAACAAATTCATTCAACAAATATATATTAAGCACCTAGATGGCAGGCACATATCAGGTTCATCAGTGAACAGAATAGGCCAAAACTCCCTCTTCCCATATACTAATAGGAGACAGAAAGTGAACAACATCCATAATTAGTATAGAATGGTGGAAGAGGATACATGCTATGGAAAAGAGAAAAGTGGAGCAGGCTGTGGGGATCTGGAGAGCATGGGCGGGGCAGGGGGTTGGCAGAAGATGAGGTCTGACATGGATGGTCAAGGAACACCTGAGTGAAGAATCAGAAGGAAGCAAGGGAGCTGGCCTGTGGATAGGTGGGGGAAGAGTGCTCCTGGCAGAGAGGACGCAAAGGTCCTAAGGAGAGAGCATGAGCATGTCTAGCCTGTTAGAGGAAGGACCAGCAGTGGGTGTGGCTGGAGCCACGTGGGGAGATAAGTCAGAAGTGGGGGCAGGAGACACGCAGCATCACTCTGGGTCAGATGCAGAACCACCTCAGGTGGCTGAGCAGATGGATGTCTTCAAATCCACTCTTGGCTGCTGAGTTGAGATCAGGCAAAGATGGAAGACCAAGTAGAAGCTATTAGCATAATCTAAGTGACAGATCATAGCCAGAATGGTCCCCACAGGTGTCATGAGAAGTAGTCAGCTTCTGGATATAGAATCTATTTATTTTTTTAAAAGTAATAATTTTATTGTAAAAGTAGTATTGAAGTAAATGCTAACCCATGATGTGTATCATCATTATAAATTCTTTTTCCCGGCACAAAAGACGCATTCTTACAGAAGCCATTATATTCTTCCCCCAAAACAAAAACACATGCTTCTTTTGAAAAATGGAAAATGGGAAATATAGAGAAGATGAAAGAGGAAAAGAAAAATCATCCCTAATCCTTTTGGTCAGAGATAACCGTTGTTAATATTTTGCATATATTTTTTCATCCTTAATGACTAAATTTATGTTGCACATTGCTTTCTTGCCAGTAGGCACACATGCATATTTTTAACATTCGTAATCTTAGCAAACACAGTTAAATATTCCTTCTCCAAATTTCTACAGACTTCGTGATTATTTTAAGACTGAGTAATATTGAACATGTTGATGCACCATAATTTATTAAACTATTTTCCCTTTATGGAAGGAACATCTACATGTTTCCAATTTTTTTTCTTTTGCTATAGAAGGCTATGCTGAAATCTGAATTTAGGTAGCTTTTGCATCTTTTGAATTATTTCTTTAGGACAAATGTCCAGGAATAGGATTGGTAGGTCAAATGATATGAAAATTTTGTATGGATTTTGCTTGGCTTTTCAAAGCATTATATAACAAAGCACATAACAACTTCACTGTAGCATCTTCAGTTTTGCGGTCACTGCTCTTTAAACTTTTCCCTAATATTGTTGATTGAAAGTAGAAACTACACTTCCAAAACTTTCCATGCTGCTGATTACTATTAAGTGTTAGCACTTCCCATGCCTCTCAACACACTTCTAACACTAAAATGAAAACATGAAGGCACAGTGACTTTGTTGTCACAATCCAGACCCTGTATTCCAATTAAAGCCAAGAGAAGTAGGACTGCTGGGGGCTGAGAGAGAAATGTCTTTGTTCTTACTATTCGTATTTATATGAAGCATTACACTTCTCCAAATATGTATGGTCTTGAACATGGTCTTGAAAACGCATGTAAGATTTTAATGAATGAAATCTTATTTAAATGCATATCTTTTCATTGAGCCAACAAATGGAACATGTACATGCAACAGACAGGCGACATGACCATGAACCAGACTGGTCTCTGCTCTCAAGAAACTTCCAAGCTAGTGAGAAGAGCCATGTGAATTTAAAATGGGGATATATGGTAAGAACTATACTAACCTTTTATCAAGGAGATACTGACTAGCGCAACAGTGGCAGGAAATAGTCCTCTTCATTTACAATCAACAATCTCTGGAAGGATGTCTGATTGCTAAACTTCACAGGAGACTGATCAGAGCCACTGGCATTCAGTCTGAGGACCAGGGCCACCAAGCCATGGTTTTCTAATGCCTTTTAATTTGGATTAAAAAAAAAAGTGTGGAGCAGGTATAAGAGACAGGTTGAGGCAAAGGCCAGTCTGGGAACACAGGAAATCAGTTCACTCTGCAGAGTATTTGTCCCCATTGCCATTGAGAAGAAATTCCTGGGTGTTACTGAAAATGCTCTTGCACTTGGTCTTGGATGTTCAGGCTACACTACCCTGCTCAGATCATTCCCCACCAGGCCTCCCAGCCAAGGCATCTGTCATCAACCTGTATAGAGTCCTCAGTCCCATCCTCCAGGAAGTCCAAGGTGTGAGCCATAGACACTTGCTCAAGAGAGAAATCGACATGTACACTTACAGTCCAACCAAAAGGCTATCCCTTCACACTGAGGCAGAGGAGCTGGAAGACCAGTGTGTAAACAGAGGTGTGGCAGACAAGGGCCAGATGGGAAGCATTAGGGGAAATGCAGAAAGTCACCCACAAATCCCAGACAGCACATTTTCTACAGATTGGGATGGGTAACCCCACTCGGAGTAGCCAGAAATACCTCCCAAATGGCTTCTGAATTCTAAGACTATCCAACGGGCAAAAATAGAATAATGAATTTTTAAAAGGGGGCCTCCAAATCCAAAAGGTCCTGGAACTTTTAAAAAAAGATGCGCCCTAGATCAGCAGAAGTAACGTCTCTGGAACTGGATTCTGGGAACCACTGTTTTAGAAACTCCCCAGCGACTGCTGAGGCTCAGCTGGGCTAAGAACTTCTGGGCTGGATGAGGTCATTTCAAGGTCCCTTCTAACACCTGTGGTCTATGACTCTCCAGGGCTGTCCTGTTCTTATAACTTTGCTCAGTCTTCCTCCTCCTCGACCCCAGCACCACTTGTCAGGAAGCCACCTTTCTGTGTGAGCTTCAGCCCTGATTTCCCTGAAGCCTTGGCTGGAAGAGACCTCTCTCTTCTCTTGGGTTTCCCCAGCTCATTATCTTGCTCAATTTTTTTTTTTTTTTTTTTTGCTTTTTGTTTTTAATAAAACACTCCAATGTGGCGTAGAAAGAGCATAGGATTCAGAATCAAGTGTCCCATGCTCATCTGGGTGGGTCATCGTTTCTCCAAGCCTCCATCTTCCACCCACAAATGGAAAAAGTGCTCTGAGGGGGGCTGTTGTGAAGAATCAGATGAAATCATGTGAATGGAGAATGCTCTGACACCTGTGAAATTAGGTACAAATGCTCGTTTTTATTTTAGCAACTATCCATCTTCTATTGTTGTCATTTCTCTCTTTATTTGCTCCACAGACACTTGCTGAGCACCTGCTTTGTGCCAAGCACTAGGGATACAAAAATAAAGATGTGCCCAGTGCCCTTCAGGAGCTCCCAGCCCAGTGCAGGGAGGCAGAGAGCCACCCAGAAAGCTATCGTATCTATCATGAGATGAGCACAATTGTCAATTTTCTTCACTGATGCACCCGCAGGGCCTAAAACAACGCCTGGCACAGGGCAGTTGCTCAGCAAGTATGGAATGATGAATCAGTTCAAGGGTGTTATGGAATCACGGGCTGAGGATGGGGGAGGCCTCTGCAAAGTAACATGGAAGCTGAGGATTGAAGGGCTGAATAGAAAGAACCAGTGCACATCTGGCTTCTTCCACAAGGCTTTTTTTGAGATGGAGTTTCGCTCTTGTTGCCCAGTCTGGAGTGCAATGGTGTGAGCTCACTGCAACCTCTGCCTACCCGGTCCAAGCGATTCTCCTGCCTCAGTCTCCCAAGTAGCTGCGAGTATAGGCATGTGCCACCACGCCAAGCCAATTTTGTATTTTTAGTAAAGATGGGGTTTCACCATGTTGGCCAGGCTGGTCTCGAACTGCTGACCTCATGATCCACCTGCCTCGGCCTCCCAAAGTGCTGGGATTACAGGCGCGAGCCACCGCACCTGGCCTCCACAAGGTTTTAAGGCCCTGCAAGATCAGCTGGTGACTAATTCTTCATTGTTCCTCTTGGTGCTTAGCAGTGGGCACTGTACTTGGTAGGTGTCAACCTCCCAGAAATGAAATTGTTAAAGATCCTGCTTTAAAAAAAACAAAAAGCAACTCAGCATCAGAGGCACAAAACTTACTTAGGTCATTTGAGTCACCCAAGCCCTTCAGCCAGCTCACAGTGATGTATCTCACAATGATGCCATGCCCAAAGAGCTTGGCATGGTTTCCAAAGCTCCTTGCAGTGCCCCATGTAGAGCTGGCAAACACAGATTCATTCAGCCCATCTGCTTTGGTCCTCATCCACATATTTCAGAGCAGGTTTCTCATTACCTTAATCAAGATAATATATTCTTTGCAGCAAGGGACTGTGAAGACAGGTAGGTTCCTGTTTTCTAAATATTTCACATTTTCATAAGAACAGAAGCTCAGTCTAGTGAGCCAAGTGAGACAGTGTCACACAAGCAATCAAATTCTCAAATGGCCCCTGCTGGGGTCCCTTTCAGGGACCACACTTCTGAAGGAAAACACCATGACCTCAGTTCAGAGACTAGATCCGAGGCAGAGCTGTAACCCTGGGGACACTGGGTGAATACATTTTGGGGGCCCCCTCTATGATCTCTTGTCCTTGGGTATATCCAGGAAGAGAAATGGAGTTCTGTGACCAGGATGGCTTATACATTCCCTGCCTGGAGAGAGAGGCTGGGCAGCCACTCAAGACCCTTTCAGTTCTGTAACTCCACACCCCACTAGGGTTGGGGTCTTCATTGCCTGTAACTGGAGATTTTGCTAAAAGCAAGTACTGCTGCAAAGCAGTGAGTGCAAACAGGCTCCTTTCTGCAAAATGCTCAGATCTGAGATTCAGCAATTGCTGTTGAGCCCTCTAAGCCGGCTAGCCAGCCTACAGGGGACTATGTTTCTGAAGCATTTACACTGGGGCACAGGTGAACAAGGAGGCTCACAGACAGCCTAGCTGAGCTCCAGAAGCTCTGGCGTTTGGAGAACGTCTTCCCTTATTTAATGCTTAGCCTGTGCCTAAACGGACACACCTTACATCAGGATAGGGTGGTTGGCCAAGTGGCTATGCGTTGAGGTTGCTGTACAAGTCAAATGGCGTTTTCTCTGCATGAAGGAGATCACACAATTAGGAAATGTTGAGTTTGAACTTCACACAGAACGATCTGCCTGCTGCATCAGCGTGTCATTTCCCCGTCTCCTTCCCCTTCTCCAACTGCTATTCAGTCCATACCCCATTAACCTGCCTTTGCTTTTCTTCATTTTTTTATTATTACCTGAAATTATCTTATTTGTGGGCTTATGTATCAGCTGTTTCCCCAACCCCAATATGAGGTTCACGAGAGCCAGGGCCTTGCCTGTCTGTGGCCCTGGCACCCAGGGTCTGGCTGGTAAGCACATATTGAATCATAAATGAATGTCCTGTGAACTCAAGAGCACGCCCCTGGTGCACTGGTTTAGGGCCTTTGGAAAATGGTAACCTAAAGGTACATTATCTAAGAGGAAGAGGAATCTCCAGATTCCTAGATGTATCTTCTCTAAGCCAGTGCTGCTGACTTAACCTCAACTACTGGAGGACAACCTGAGCCACAAAAGGTCATTTAAGTTGCAAGGGCAAAAAGAGTTCTTTCTGTAGCATCATGGGTGGTGAAGTGCACGCTTCCCAGCCCAGATCTCCCAGGCTTAATTCCACGCCTCCCACCTACCCATCAGGCCACCCTGAGCAATTCCTTAGCCTCTCAGTGTACTTACCTCCCGGGCTTGTGGGAATTAAACGTGTGGATACGCGTGAAGCTCTCAGCATCCAACATGGCACCTGGACAACATCATTGTCACCACCCTTGCCAACCCCTTTGTAAGGTAGGGACTTGCCTCCATTTTAAAAACAGTGAGGTCAAGAAAATGGGTGGGCTTGCTTGCAGTGTGCTCAAATGCAACCTTAAAGTGAGAGGAGTGCCCCTGAGCAGGGTGTCACATGGCTGGGGGGCCACGACGGGCTCTCTGCCCACTGCCAGCATAGCCCTGCTATGGCCGTCAGTTTTCCCCCTCTCCCCAAAGGCTGCTTCTTGGTCCCTCTCTCACAGCCAGGCCATTTGGTCAATCTACAGCATGACCTGGTTTACCTCCTAGAGAGCTTACTATCTTTCGTCGTCCCCCATAGAAATGCAACACAATTTCCCCCACCTCTGCTGGCCCAGACGCGAGTTAACATCTGTGGAACCCCTTGCCATGCAGTCTGTGTGTAGAGCTTTCCCCAAGCAGTAGAAAGAAGAGGGAGACAGGCTATGTTTTGCCCGAGGCCTCACCCGCTCAGATCCAAAGCTGCACGCGCCATCCGGACAATGAATGTGCCGAGAGAACTTCCTTACATGGCTGCTTGGGGCGCCGTTTCTTCTGTAGAACCTGGGGCGAATTTTTAGCTAAAACAAGGAAGGGACAAGGAGAATGGAACGAACTTGTTTTTAGTGTCTAGTAAGAACTTCAGAGACTCTCATTTGATCTTCAGGGTGTTCCTCTGAGACAAACGTCTCACCTCCATTCTGCAGAGGAGGACATGGGGCTCAGAGAGGAAGAGCGACTTGGCCGAGGTGGTGCAGCCACTGAGCAGAGGGCTGGGACTCAGACCCAGGGTCTCTAACGGCAAAGCCCTCCCTGGTGATTGCGGCAGGACGGAGGAGGTGAAGGGGTGAGGAGGGGCATTTAGAATCTGGGGGGGTGGGACAGAAGGGGCACCAGCATCAGCCAGCCCATCTGTGCAAGAAAAGCCGGCGGGTGGTTCTGAAATGCTTTGATCCCCCAACCCAGGATGAGAACCCCTGCTAGAGAGTTCGGAGGACATCTCTACTCCAGGTCCTAGTGCTTTGGCATGTTGTTATTACAAAAAATGAGGGGTGATTACCATCCTTTAATCATCCTTGACACAATTTTCATGTCTAGGACAATTTGTGATGTAAATGTTCACACTGTGCCTTTGAAGGAGGCTGAAAGAGACCGCAGAGGACAAGTCCCAAAGAGTGTTTTCCAAGGCCAGGCCATATTGTTCTGCAGTACCCAAGCCCCAGGGGGAAAGTGGCAGTGGGGTCGGCGAGGATAGCCACTTCTCATACTAGCCGAGCCGAAGTTTCCTTCACAAAAGAGAGTGTGAAGACAGAGATGGAAAGTAACCGTAGCCGACACGCCCTGGGGTCCCTCTCAAAGTTGGGGCACAACTGAGTCTGCGGAGGCAACAGAAGATGGAGAAGATGAACCCCAAGCCCCCAGCTCCCACCCATCAGACTGGTTTTTATTTCTTAGGCTACAGACAAAAAAAATTCCTTTACCCAATTCAAGCACTGCACTTTACCCATCAAGTCAGACTTCTAGAAAATTGCTGAAAACCATGGCATTGCATACAGAGGTCACTTCATTCAACAAACACCTAATGTCTGTTAGACAGCAGGTTCCAGGCTAGGCCCTGGGGACTCAGACCTGCCCTGGAAGGGGTCATCCTCTGTAAGGGAGGCATGAGTTTTAGCTGGTGTATGAGGGTGCCTTACCAGGTAGCCTGGCTGTAACAAGTCAGTAAAGGCCACGCAGAAGGGCCACCCTGCCTCTGAGCCTTCATCAGTGAAGCAGGAGCTTGCCAAGCAGAGAAGGGGGTAGGGAAAGGCCTTCCAGGCAGGGGAAAGGGCCATGTCCCGAGCTTGGAATCAGAAAGGACTTGCCCTCCTAGCACATGGTGAGTTCAGACTGGTTGGTACCCCAGGCTTCCCAGGAGACTGTTAGGTAAGGGGATTGCAAACAGTCCTGAAGGCCACACCAGGGTGTGTGGATTTGACCTGTAGGCAAAGGAGGGCCAGTGGTGATTCTAACCCAGGGCTGTACCAGGGCCCAGATCAGAAGCTCATCTCAGAAGGGCCTCTCTGTCGGCTGCATGCAGGGGACCCGAGGATGAGGCCGACTGGAGGCCTAAAGGTCCATTTGGAGGCCTGCACTGAGGCAGGCGCGGTGTAAGCAGGGCCTCGCTGCAAGGCACCAGGCAACGAATAAGGCTCCTGATAAAGGACAGCCTGGAGCCTTGGTGTTTACAACCCAGCTGTTGTCCTCGAATATCCCAGACGTCGACGTACCCTGGAGGCTGCTACCCGTGCCTGACCAGCGCCCATGGACACGCAGTCTGCTCTTCTCCCAATACTTCCTCCAACACTGTCACTGTCACTGTCACTTTCACAGCCTGGCCTGTGAAAGATAAGCCCAAGAGCAGATGGGACCTTCTGCAGTGGCCAAGGCCACCAGTTCTCCTTGACTCCTGCCTCTACGTCCCCTTTCACACAAAGGGACACAGCCAGGCCATTTGGTCACTCTATAGCACGACCTGGTTTACCTCCTAGAGAGCTTACTATCTTTCATCACCCCCCCATAGAAGTGCAACACAATGCCCCCCACCTCTGCTGGCCCAGACACAAGTTAACATCTGTGGAACCCCTTGCCATGCAGTCTGTGTATAGAGCTTTCCCCAAGCAGTGATATTTTAAATAACATAAGGCAGCAAATACCCTCAAATGCTTGCTGTGTGTCAGGCACTGAAGCATAAGCTTTTTGTGGATTCTCTTTGGCTGTGATTGTTTTTTTTGTCTGAGAGAGGGTCTCGCTAGGTTTACCAGGCTGGCCTTGAACTCCTGGGCTCAAGGGAGCCTCCCACCTTAGCCTCCCAAGTAGCTGGGATAACAGGCATGTAGTACTGTGCCGAGCTTTTACAATTTTTTTTTTAATGAATTCTGTTTTTCTTTTGCCTTAAACATACGTAGGCAGGCTTCAGTTTGTCTCACCCTTGCAGTGGAACCTAAGAATTGCTGTTTATAATGTTTAACAAGTAAGAGCAATACATGCTGTTCAGTAAAGGGTAGGTGAGGCTGTACACTTATTACATTCTTTTAAAAAACTTTTTTGTTTGAGATAAGGTCTTGCTATGTTACCCAGGCCGGAGTGCAGCGCAAGACCATAGTTCACTGCAGCCTCAAACTCCTGGGCCCAAGTAATCCTCCCACCTCTCAACCTCCAAAGTAGCTGGGACTACGGGTGCACATCACTGTGCCTGGTGGATTCTCTTTTAACCACACAACAATCCTAATGGTGGCTCTAGAAGAGTAAGCAATACCTACCACGACAGAAAGGTCCTTGAAAAGAAGGGAGAAGCCACTGAAAATCATCTGAACCCTGAAATCACAAACCAGCTGCTTCTTGACAACGGAGTACACCATGTAGAGAAACCTCTTCCTTCTCACCGCCCCCTCCCTCCACATCCCACGAGAAATCTGGGGCTTTTATCCTTTAAGTCCTCTGGTGAATGCTCTGTGTCTATTAGAAATGTCTCTTGAACATTTACCACATTTGAAAAACATCTTCATTAATTGATGAGGTGGGTTTTCTTTGAGGATTTTCACTTCTCCCCAACCTGGGAAATGGCTCTGACATTTAATGAGGTGGTCTGTGGCTCTTACGGTCTGTACGTTTGTCACACTTCTCCATTCCTGGCTTAAAAAAGACATTAAACTCCTACGGGCACACAGTGAATTCCTTTGCCCCCAACACTTACCTCTCTATAATGAGGCCCTAGAAAGTGCCTTGGAAGCTGTTTCATGCAAGTATCAAGTTGGTAATTAAAATGGCAACAACCGCAATTACTTTGGCACCAATCTACTATTTACTGCGTGGAACACTCTTTGGGGAGATGAGGGCAGTATGAGCTGCAGCTGGTCCAAGTGGTTAGAAACGCGTCAATGCAGGGTTCTACTCTGATTCACTGAGGAAGCTCACTCGGCTGGCAGTGTTAGCAAGACCAGAAGGATTCTAGACAATTGCTCTGCAAACCTTCTCATGTACCATTTTAAGAAATGCTCTATCTCTTCAAATGACTAGCTATCAGCAGGTGTTTTTCATGGATGGAGGTTTACGTTGCTAAGCTGAGGATGACAGTTCTTTGTTCTTTTATGAAAAGGCCAGCAAACTAGCCTGAGTATCATAGTGGGACTCTGTCTCTACAAAAAAATTTTAAAAACTTAGTCAGGTGTGATAGCACACATACCTGTAGTCCCAGCTACTCAGGAGGCTGAGGTAGGAGGATGGCTTAAGCTTAGGAGCTCAAGGCTGCAGTGAACTATGATTGCATCACTGCCCTCCAGCCTGGGTGACAAAGTGAGACCCTGCATCCACAAGAAAAGGCTAGCAGGAAGTCCAGCCATCGTTAGGGCCGTATGTCAAAGAGATGTCCCATGCAGTGCCTGAGAACGTGAGGATCTTGGGGTTCGGTCAGTACTCCCCCATAATCCAGAGGCCAAAGTATCCCAGCAGGGAATGTAGCCTCAGGGGAAAGACACACTGGAGTGAGAACCGGAGAGCAGAGAGCAGAGCCCCTGAAGCCCTTTGAAATGGCAGCTCTCGCTTCCCTAGGGAGCCACAGATATTTAGAAGATGCAGTTTCTCCTTTGATCTTCTTGAAGCAGAATCAGGAACCACCCAGGAAAATGCTTGTCAGGGTTCTGTGGCTTGGGCCTTCTGGGGAAGGTGGTATCTGGTTGGCCACATGCTGATACCAAGCAATGTGGCAGGCCCAACCTCTCTCGAGTTACTATTAAATCCAAGTATTTCCTAGAATAAGGTTAGCAGCTAGATACCACAAATATGTTTTCATGAGTACAACTGCCCTGTCTGAGCAGGGTTCTCACAGAAGACCACCTAATCACACTATTGTCTGGGGAAAAGACTCCTGACATCCATACTAGGAGATCTTACTCCAGTCTTGACTGCCATGTACAAGCTTTAGCCTTTCTTGGCCAGGTGCAGCTCATGCCTGTAATCCCAGCACTTTGGGAGGCTGAGGCCGGCAGATCACAAGGGCAGGAGTTCAAGACCAGCCTGCCAACATGGTGAAATCCCATCTCTACTAGAAACACATAAATTAGCCAGGCATGGTGGCACACGTCTGTAATCCCAGCTACTTAGGAGGCTGAGGCAGGAGAATCGCGTGAACCCAGGAGGTGGAGGTTGCAGTGAGCAGAGACCGCCCCAGTGCACTCCAGCCTGGGTGATAGAGCGAGACTCCGTCTTTAAAAAAAAAAAAAAGCTTTAGCCTTGTTGAGCCTTATCCAGCATGCAAAGATGTTCACACCTGCCCTGCCTGCTTTCCAAAACTGTTCTGAGGAACAGAGACAGAAGAAACACAGAAACACTTTGAAAACTCAAAGAGCCTGTGCCCATGCCAAGTTAGGTTAAATGTCACAGTGGCTCATAGGGACCTGAGTCTCTAGACCAGATCTGAACCCCAAAGTGTCCTGTTCCTGCTGACCAAATCCCTTCCAGGATAGTCCTTAAAGCCTGGACACTGACCTTAACTCCAGGTTCCCTAGATACTCGGGTAAAACATAAAATCTTCACAAGTACCATAGATGCAAAGTTGTGTATTCTCAAAAAATAAACAAACAAGAAAGAACCCACTACTTCCATGCCAAAAAAAAAAAAAAAAGATTCGGTGTCTCTCAAAATGTGGACATACAATGCTGCATACTGTCAGGAGCCCAGACCCGGTCCATAAAGCAGGAACTGGCCTTGTCCATCGTGATCATTAGCCAGAAGGTCAAAATTAGAAAGGCCTCTGAGCCACTTTCTTTTGGAGGAGAGGTGGATGCCAAGACCAGCTGTCTCAGAAACCAAGGGGAGCTGCAGGGCGACCAGGTGGTCATCCTCCCAAATAAAGAAAACAAAACAAAACAACGCTTTCCCTAAATTCCACTTCCGCAAGATCCACATTTTACACTTGTGAAACGATTTCCTGGCTGACAGCTGACCTATGTTGGCGTCCCTGACACACTGGTAATTGTTTACCACGGGGTGCCTGTTCTTTGGCCACCGTCCTTACTCTGGTGTTCAGCCTGTTAATTGTTTTCCAGTGGTTCTGTTGCACCAACTGTATGAATTCCTCCTGCGGATCTGTCCACTGCTTCCTTGGGCATGCTTAAGGGAACAGATGCCCCCAAAGGCATCACAGTGACCCCAAAGAGGCATTCCACCCACAAAAGCCATCTTCGAAGAAGGGGCCACTTAAAACTGTTCTTGAAAAATGTTTGCGACCATATAAAAATGGAGAGTGGGAGGTACAAGGGGAATAAGAGGGGAAGGCGAGCAGGTGAAACTGATGGAGATGTGATCTCTCTCTTTCTTAAGGCCAAAGAATGAGCAAAGCAGGAAAGAATCGTGGGGGCAGAGAGGGGAGTTGGCTCGAATGTTACACCGAAGGAGAGGCAGGGGAGCTCCAGTCTCTTGGCTGAGAAGTCTAAGAGTCTATAGTACAAGAGTCTATAGGGTCATGAATTGAAGTGCCCTCAGTGGGTCACAGTGGAGAGCCCTTCTATGTGACCAAGTCCAGTCTTTTCATTTTCCACATGAGGAGACTGGATCAGAGAGGGAGTGACTTAGCCTCTACTCAGCATGGAGGCATCTAGGCTAGCTCCTCACACTTCCTGACTCCCAAGTCTTTCTGCTCATTGGACAAATGCCATTTATAGCTTCCCCTCTAGAGCTTCATATAAGCAAAACTTTCAAATCTGTGTTTTCGTTTTTGTTGTTTGAGATAGGGTCTCACTCTGTCACTCAGCTGGAGTGCAGTGGTGTGATAGAGGTTGAGGCTGCAATGTGATCAGGTTGAGGGCTCAAGCAATCCTCCCACCTCAGCCTTCTGAGTAGCTGGGACTACAGGTGCACACCACCATGCCTGGCTCATTTTTTTTATTTTTAGTAGAAATGGGATCTCTCTATGTTGCCCAGGCTGGTTTCGAACCTAAGCTCAAGTGATCCTCCCACCTTGACCTCCCAAAGTGCTGGGATTACAAGTGTGAGCTACCACACCTGGCCTGTCTGTTTTACTCGCAGCTGCCTCCTACGTGCCTTGGAAAGTGCTGACACATGGAAAGAACTCAATAAACATCTTTGGGGAAAAGGAATGCTCCACTTAGCTAGCCTTTCCCCTTAAGGCGTAGTGGATTGAGGTATCTTCAGGCCGTGTGACGCCCCGGATGTGTGTTACATGGGGGTTCCCTGGGCTTAGTCATGTGTGGAGGGTTGCTGTTATGACAGTCTGGGGCTCATCACAGGGTGGATTCTGTCAATGTGGGAGTTGCAGGGATGGAAAGGCATATGAAATTGTGAATTGTTCAAAAGTCTTTTAATGAAAGGAAATGAGGGAGGAAAAGAGAAGAACCAGCCAACGCAGAATGACTAGCGGGCTAACAGCCTCAAGATCAAGGCCAAGAGAGGAGGGAAAGGGGCTCCTGCACGTGTGGCTGGGGAGGGGCAGCTCAGTGCAAGACACTGAGTCATGAGATAAGGGCCCTGCCAGCATGAAGGGCGAAAGGCTTGTCAGAGAGTTCTTCTGATAAATGATCTCAGAGCTTTCAGGACATACTAGCTTTTAGGATATGCTGGGGATATCACGGGGATGCCCTGGGTGCCAGGTCTCTGGGTGGAAGTGCACCACAGTTATGACAGTGTTTCTGTGGGGAAATATGGTCTGCATCATGAAGATATTCTTTACAACCCCTTTTCCAGGATGTGTTGACCTGGAAAGCTGAGCTGTGTACGCATCTACATCTCAACAGGCTCCCGGGCACTGCAACCAAGCCATTTTAACCAAGTGAGTTGGAGGAGAATGCATTTTGGATGGCAGGACAGTGACCCTGGAGAAGAGATAGAACCAGGTGAAGCAGGACCTGGAGAGGGGCCAGCTCTCTGTTTAGGGGCATCTTGGGGCAAACCTGGGGCAAACCTGGGGCAAACCAGGCCATGTGATGCTGCACCGTGACTCAGCCAGTGCCCTGGGCACCTGAGGTTTTTCTCAAGTCTTGGCCAGTTCAGGACATTCCAGTCCACAAAGGTCCCTGAGTCAGATTCCCTGGGCTAGAAAAGCAAAGGGCATTCAAAGTTCCCCTTGCTTAAATCAGCTTTTTTAAAGAAATTAAATCAAAGGAGTGAGTTTAAAGGTTAGCCGTGCACCCTTCCTTCATATTCACATGTACAGCTTGAGACTCTGCCAGCAATCTTTGGCTTAAGGCAAGATGGGCTGGTCCTTCCTGATGGGATGATGGTCTGAGAGTCAAGGGCAGGCCCAGGCTCTGAAGGAAGAGAATGCAGCCCAGAGATCCTTTTGCTGTTTTAGGATAGCCATGAGAAACTCGACTACGATTTATCCCTAAGCATAGCCATATGTTTCAAGTCAACATTTAGGATTTTCTTTTGAAGGAATGAAGTTAGGCATTGGTTTTAACCTTTCCCTCCACCCCTGAAACTGACACTGAATAATGCAGCGTGCATTCCCCCTCCACAATCGTGGGTAACAGTCTACTCAGTGGATCTGCCTTTTAGCTGTAGATTGGCTGAAAAGTCCAAGTACTGTGCAGTTCCTCACAGCAGTCCTGTTTCATGCAGGTCACGGCAGGCTCCAGAGAGCAGAAAACAAGGGTGCTGGCCCCACCCCTCATCTGGGATCTCCAGATCAAAAACCTAGAGTTGTAGAAGTTTCTTAGAAGCAGGAGAAGGAGGCAGAACTGAGATCAGAGGCTCAAATTTTTCCTTAGCAAGGAAAAGGGGACAGGAAAGGCTGGGGCAGATATCCAGTAAACTCTCATTCCCTTCTCTACCTTCAGGGCACAAGTGACCCTCTGTGGCATCTCCTGCTCCCTAAACCAGTGTAATTTACACAGTCTTATCCTGTGCTGAGTTTCAGGGCAGATTGGGGTGTAAGGGGCAGGGCAGACAACTGAATGTTCTCTAGCCCTGCACCCATCACTGAAGAGTCCAGCCAAGGCATTCTATAGAATGGTAAATAACTGACAACTTCTCTTTAGACATCAGCCCCCAGCATATGTTCACCTCCACCTCAGTGGAGCTCTGAAATGCCACTCAACCGAAATTAGCTTTTTCACCTTCTGGTTTCCTCACCGTGGCAGGGTACCAAGACTGCTGAACTGCGTCTCAAACGATGAGGTTCTGTAGCGTCAAAGCTGCCACTGGCTGGCTGTGTGACATTCAGGAAATCCATATCCTTCTCTGGATTTGCTCTGGCCTCAAGCTCCTTTGGTATCAAACGAGGACGGTTGATTCTAAGTCCATTTCAAGGTTTCTCCACTAATTTTCAAAAAGAAAAAAGCGACGGGGGGGGGGCCTTTTTTCTTTCTTCCACTAGATGGCGCTGTGTCTCCAACTGCAGCCAGCCGGGCCGGGCCACTCTCGAGGGCATTTGTTCAGGGGTTCCACTTGGCCGAGCACAGCGGAGGCGCTGGAGGCTGCTGCTCTCCCAGGACTCGGCCAAGACGGTGCAATCCGGCTCTGCAGGTTGAATCAGGGCAAAACAGGAAATGGTCAGGAGCTTAAACGGCAAAAAGCAATTTGGTTTTAAAAGGGCAAGCTTAGGATTGGACAGGACAGGCAGGTTCCTGGGCTCTGAACCCTACACGGGCACCCGGTTTCCCCAGGACTGGCTACCAGAGGATTTTGGCGCAGACTCTGTGCTGGGTCTTCATCTGCAGCTCACCTGTCTAGAATGTCGGCCCCTAAAAATTCTAGAATATAGAACCAAACGCTTGAAGCATTAGAAGGGACCTTAGGACCAGCACCCTCCGCTGCGGATTCTCGCCAAGGCATCCCGCAGGGGTGGCGTCCAGGTCGCTGTGACCATCACCTTTCCTCATCTCTGTTCAAGTGAAAGATGACAAGCCTGACATCTCTTTCCTTTTAGCTATCATCTTGATAATATTTTTTTTAAGAGAAGGTCAAATAGTTCAAGTCAACAAATGTTCAAGAATAACAGTGTTTTAAAATGTAACCAGTAATGCTTTAAAAAAAAAAATAAAGTATTAGGTAAAAATACTTATAGTATTCTGTGGTGGGGGAGGGACTGAATAGAAGGTATCTAAAGCTATGTGAAATGTTGGGATATAGACGGGCAAATGTTAGAGTATAAGGAACAAATAGGAAGATGGTTTGCTTTGTGGCATTTCTGTGATTATGGGTGATTTTTTTTCTTCTTAAATGTAGAATGTTCTTGGTTTTTCTCTGATGTTTGAAAAATATCAATAGCAAATCCCTAATGACTAGGATCTACTGACTTCTAAAAAGCCTCCGGTATTTCCCTCAAAATATGTTTCTGTTTTGAACCCGCTTTGAAGTTCTCTGCCCAAAGGTCAGCATTTCTATGTAATGTGACTATTTTTTAGTTATTTTAAGATTCTCTCTCTGAACTTCACCCTGATGCTTTTCCCACTGATTTGTCAAAATGTAACAATTTGGCTATAACAGAATAGTAATTTGTTCTTCCCTCACTAAAATGGGGGCAATACAATATTTAAAAAAAAGTTTATAAAAATTCTTGTGTAATCTCACCACTATAAAATAACTTGCCTCACTATGTATAGTTCTGTCTGGAGGCTGGCCACATATATAGGTATTTTTATATAGTTGTAATCATAGAGTATATGTTATTTTACAGAATATTTCTTTTTAAAGACTTGCCAAATTTTTACCCAGTATGTTGCCAATGCCGAAGTGTCAATACCTAATTCAAAGATCCTTCAGAAGGATGTTCAGTTAAAAGCCAAAATGATAGTGAGGAATTTCATGACCTAACGTGACCTACTTAGCTCTCAGACACAGTAACCACCTGTGTAGGTTCTGATCAGAATAAAAGAGGCATCTGCATATGTGATTCAGGCACCCTCAACTCGATCCTCCGGTATCATTTTGGCTTTTAAATGAATGTCCTTCTGAAGGAGCTTTGGATTAGGTATTGACACTTTGGCACTGGAAACAGAGACTGGATAGAAACTGTCCCTTCTGCACTCCTCTGGGTGTCTCTGTTTGGCATTTCAGAAGTTCTCTCTCCGGTCGTTTCTTGTTCACTCGTCTGTGTGTGATGGAGATGGGGTAGCATCTCCTGTCTCTCTCTCTTGGCCCACTGCTAAGCACAGCACGGTCCACTCCAGAGTTTACCACATGAGAGATTGCCAGGAGTGCATTTTGTTTCGTTAGAAATAATGGGCTACAGCCTATGGCAGAAATCAGGCTCCTTGAAAGAAGGTAAGAAAGAAGGAACCATCCCCCAATTCCCAATGTTAAGGAAGAAGAACTATCTCTCAAGTACTAAGACTTTGCCTTCTGACTCCTACCTGGCAAGAAGCAGTGGCACCAACCACCACAATCACACATTTTTATGCACACCATTAACCGCCCCAGTCCTTCCACAAACTCAATGATATCCTTCACTGGTCTGTGTGAATCCAGAGAATCCAAAACAGCTCCTTTTTTCCAGGGTAGTGCTACCCGCTCCCCCACCCACACGTCAGGCAGTCTCTAGGTGCTGAGCCTTCCTGAGAAGGAGCAGGAGTGATGTTAATTAACTCATGGCAGGAAAGAGACAGAGGAGTCACTTCAAAACCAAATCTATTTTTTGCTACACAAAGAGGTTCAGAAATCACATTACAACACAGTATTTGTGTTTTAAGTACCTATAGAACAAGTCAAGATCAGTGCTAATGTTGAATGAAAACAAATAGAAAATAAACGACTGTTGTATCCTTCAATTTTGCTCAGAGAAGCCTTGCAGATACCAGTAATGAGACATGGCAGGGCGGTAATTACAATGCAGACTTCGCTTTCATGCCATTATGGGGTCAGCACCAGCACGATTTGCTAAACTGCCTCCCCATGATGGCATTTCCTTGATACTTCTCTGCAAGGTTATATGAAAACATTCCACACAACCCCAGATTCCAGGACAAAAGAGGCACATTTTAATGAAGGTTTATCACATAGTCATCTATTTATACCCTGCCTTGAGTCAGAAGGGACTTAGGTAGCCAATAACGACAACAATAATAATAGACACAGTTGCCATATGTGAGGAACGATTACATGTCAGACACCGCATATGAGGTGCTTTATTTACAGTGCCTATAATTTTACAGAAATTCCTCTGGGAGATAGAGCATTAGAGAGGCAGCAGGTGCAGAGGTTAAGAACTCAGGCCCTGGCTGGGCGCGGCGGCTCATGCCTGTAATCCCAGCACCTTGGGAGGCCGAGGCAGGCGGATCACAAGGTCAGAAGTTCAAGACCAGTCTGGCCAACATGGTGAAACCCTGTCTCTACTAAAAATACAAAAACCAGCCAGGTGTGGTGGCACGCGCCTGTAGTCCCAATTACTCAGGAGGCTGAGGCAGAAGAATCACTTGAATTTGGGAGGCAGAGGTTGCAGTGAGCCGAGATCTCGCCACTGCATTCCAGCCTGGCGACAGAGCAAGACTCCATCTAACAACAACAACAAAAAGAACTCAGGCCCTAAAGTCTATGTGGCTTTGATCCTGACCCCACTACCTACCTGCTATGAGACATCAGCAAGTTACCTAAGCTATCTGTGCCTCAATGCATTACCTGTACAATATAATACAGATATTAGTAATTACTTCATAGGGTTGAGGATTAAATGGGATCAGCCATGTACAGTGTGGAGAACAGTACCTGGCACATAGGGAGGGCTCAATTAACATTAGCACAGTGGCAGAGACATTTAATGATCACCCATAGCCCATGGGCTCTTCTAAATTTCCAATCTCCTAGGAGTCAGGCAAAGCCATGCGACTGGCCTTAGTCAATGAAATATAAGTGGAGGTGACATGTGTCATTTCTGGACACAATGTTTAACAGCCAGTGCATGACTTTTTAGTGCTCTCTTCCCTGCCTCAGTGACCCTAGAAGCTGCCTGTTGATGGCAACACCAGATGGAAGACAACTGCATCCCAGGGTCACCAGATAGGGCAGGGCCCAGGTGATGCACATCAGATTTTGCTTGAGCAAAAAATCCATTTTTGCTGTACTAAGCTCCTGATGTTTCAAGCCTTATTTGTTACTGCAGCATAGTATGCTCTAGCCTGACTAGCACAGATATTGGATACAAACTGCCCTTTATGCACTCCTCTGGGTGTCCTCCGGGTGTCTCTGTTCAGCACTTTAGAAGTTCTCTCTCCCGTAGTTTCTTGCTCACCTATCTGTATGTGGTGGAGCTGGGGTAGCATCTCCTATCTTTCTCTCTGCTATTGCTATTATGTTCTTTTTTTTTTTTTCTGAGGCAAGGTCTGGCTCTGTCACACAGGCTGTAGTGCACTGGCATGATCATGCCTCACTGCAGCCTCATACTCCTGGGCTCAAGTAATCCTCCCACCTTAGCCTCCTGAGTAGGTGGGACTACAGGTGTGTGTCACCATGCCTGGCCAATATTTTTATTATTTTATGTTATGATTATTTTCTTTGTAGAGATGGAATCCTGCTATGTTGCCCAGGGTGGTCTCAAACTCCTGGGCTCAAGCCATCCTCTCTTCTCAGCCTCTGAAAGTGCTCAGATTACAGGTGTGAGCCACTGTGCCGAGTCTGTGTTATTCTTATTACTTCTTTTGACACTTGAAGAAGCGAAGGTTTAACTAGCCAAAGGGAGCCCCTCCATTCAAACTCGATGGGCCAAGTTCAGTCACAGAGATTTTGGAGGCTAAGGTGGGAGACTCACTTGAGGCCAGGAGTTCAAAACCAGCCTGGGCAATATAGTAAGACTCTATCTCTACCAAAAATATAAAACAAATTAGCCAGGCATGGGCGTGTGTGCCTGTACTATCAGCTACTTGGGAGGCTGAAGTGGGAGGGTGACTTGAGCCCAGGAGTTCGAGACTGTAATGAGCTGTGATCACACCACTGTACTCTAGCCTGGGCAACAGAGCAAGATGCCATTTCCAAAACAAAAAACAAATCCAGCTATCTATTTCACTCTAAAAGTAGCATCATCACATTCATATTTGCCTTTTCTTGAATCCCCGCAAACTCTTGGGTGCTATGGGAAAAAATGAATCCTCAGTTAAGCACTGGTTTAAAAAATATACCAGTGATGGTAACTGTTGGAGAATATGAATATTTGCCTTCTCTAAATCTGGACTGTGACCACCTTGACAAACAACATTAGAAAAATGGGAGGGCGTGAAGCTTAGAATTATTGTACCACCTTGAGGGGAGTGAACCCTGAATCCTAAATGTGAAAGTGATCACAGATGGGCTAGTATGCTAGTGACACCAAGTGGCATGGAAACCCAGGAAGCGGGAGCAGGAAGGGGATTAGGGAGAGGTCTCAGAGAAGAGGGCTGGGGTGGCCTGGCTGTTATAATACAGGGGGCCAAGGAGAGCACAAGATGCCCTGATCAGTCAGGGAATTCAGGAAGCATGAGAGTTGGCGCCCACTTTCTCTGGCTGCCAATATTCCTTCTATCCACCCTGTCTCCAATTTAATCTAAGAATTCAGGGTTCCCCCACTTTTCATAGAGGTCTTCAGCAGGAATCATGCTATATATTAAACCAAAAAGCTCTTCTAGAACATCCTTCTTCCTAAACAACAAGGCATGGGAATTATCTTCTCAAATACAAGGCTAACGCACTCTTCTGCCTCAGTTTCCTCTTTGTGAACTAGCGGACTACACAGCATTTCGAGGGTCCCTGCCAATCTTAAACATCTATGCTTCTATGAATAAAGGATGGTGGCACCATGTCCCTGCTTTCACAGCTTAAAGGGTTCATGGAAGGAAAATGCAATGCTTGTTCTATGCTTTGTTTGTTTTTGAGACCGAGTCTTGCTCTGTCACCCAGGCTGGAGTGCAGTTGTGCGATCTCTGCTCACTGTAACCTCTACTTCCCGGGCTCAAGTGATCCTGCCACCTCCCAAGTAGCTGGAACTACAGGTGCGTGCCACCCTGCCTGGCTAATCTTTGTATTTTTAGTAGAGACAGGGTTTTGCCATATTGCCCAGGCTGGTCTCAAACTCTTGGGCCCAAGCAATCTACCTGCCTCGGCCTCCCAAAGTGCTGGGATCACAGGCATGAGCCACCACACTGGGCCTTCCTTTCATCCATAAAATCATTACACTTCCTGCTACCTACCACAGAGGAAAGGTATGCAAATGAGCTGAGGTGCTATCAAACACCTTAAAAACCTCCTGCAAAACATTATGTAAGTGCTAAACATTAATATCCAACAACTGCCACTCACTACCAATTTCTAATTTAAAGGTTCCACCACTATCACCTCCCGAAAACTACAAGATTTTGTCTTTGCTGTTGTTACATAACACTGTAACCTAAATTGAAGTAATTTATGTTTATAGTGAAAAATTAGAGAATATGGGAAAAAATAACACAAGAAAAACTGCTTACAGTCCCATGCCCAAGTGACAACTTTGGTATAATTATCAGCTTAGCACACTTCCTTTCAGTCTTTTCATCTGTATATCTTTATTGATTTAAGTCCAGATCAGGTTCAACGTACAATTTTGTGTCTTACTTTAACATTACATTGTAAATAGTTGCCATTAGAAACTGCTCATAGGCCGGGCGCCATGGCTCACACCTGTACTCCCAACACTTTGGGAGGCCAAAACGGGTGGATCACCTGAAGTCAGGAGTTTGAGACCAGCCTGGCAACATGGTGAAATGCTGTCTCTACTAAAAAATACAAAAATTACCTGGGTGTGGTGGTGGGTGCCTGTAATCCCGGCTACTTGGGAGGCTGAGGCAGGAGAATTGTTTGAACTCACGAGGCACAAGTTGCAGCGAGCTGAGATTGTGCCACTGCACTCCAGCCTGGGTGACAAGATCGAGACTCTGTTTCAAAAAAAAAGAAAAAAAAAAGCTCATGCGTGCAATTTTTAATGGCTACGTAAAACTCCGATCTTATAGTGTGCCCTGATCTCCTTAACCAGTCCTCAGTCCTCATTACTGGAAATTTTGGGTGTTTTCAAAGTTTTCCTAGTTGGAGGAATGCTGAGGACAATTCCTTTAGCTTTTCTGGTGTTTCTAATTATTTCCTTAGGCTACACTCTCCTGTGCAACTAGTCTGTACTAAAATAGTCTCCGCCAAGTACTCAATTCTGCAAAAAAGGCAAAGAAAATCCAGTCATCATAGTCAATATTACTAATGACCCAATTCAAGCAGCAGAGCTCTTTCAGCGAGGGTCTATGAATAGCAAAGCCACACTTCTGGTAGAAAGTTACAAAGAAAGAGTAACCATTAAGGTTGCTCTTAAACTAGGGTTAAGATACTGTTCTATGCTGCCTCTTAGCCAGAGAGCTATTTAATCAAGACCAGCATTCACTGAAAAAGTATAATATTTCTATTCAAGGGAAATAATCTGGCCACCCACACCTTCCTTGTAATTCGACAGGCTCTCTAAAAGCACAGGTTGCCTACAGACACTGGCTGACAGACAAAAAGAGCTTTGAAAGTCTAACCTTTGTGCGTCCTCCATCTGAAAGCAGAGCTCTGGGAAGCTCAGCTCTCCCCTAAACTGTTGCCAAGGATACCCCGAGTCGCCACAGAATCCAGACCCAATTAGTCCAAGTGCCCCCATTTGGTCGGTTAAACATTTTGTTTGGTTAAAATGTGGCTTGGTTGGTTAAAAATATTGGTTAAACATTTTGTCTTTTTATTTTGACAGATTAATTCATATTTTTCAAACATAAAAAAGACATAAAATGATCCAGGTTTCATTCTTTGTATGCGTTCAGCTGCAGGTAACTACTTATCGCCCAAGAATCTATCTTTCAAAGAGACCATCCCATCAATAGGCATCACAATAGTGATACTGACAACAATAATCATTAGGGCAGCAAACCATTATTGCACTAGACACGCCATGAAAACTGTAGCTAGACGGATCGATCATTACCATTTTGGATGTGCAGCCAGGATCAAAGCTAGTAAAACTACAATTATCTCACTTAAAAACTTGGGCTTATTCACACTAAATGTTTATTAGATGTTACATGGGCCAGGCACTCCGCCAGGGGCTTTATATACATTTTCACCAAGCCTCACAACTGTCCTGCTAGAGAGGCATCCTCAGTCTCATTTTAGAGGAGGGAACTGAAGCTCGTAGAGGTTAAGAGACAGATTGCAGCAAGGCTGGGGGTTGAACACAGGATCAAGACCTGAGCTCCTCCACTGCCTTCTCCACATCCTCAACCAAACTGGTAGGCTGACAAAAATCTGAGCCCAATAACTGGAAGGCGGTGTGGATTGTGAAGAGGAGATCTAAAGGAAAACAAATTAATGGTCCAGAAACAGGATAAATGGGTGGCAGAAGTGAAGAGCCAGCCTCTCGGCCCTTCAGCTGATTCCTCCTAAGTCAAGGCTCACAGCCCTGCTACCATTAATGGTGGAAGAAAGTGCTTGTGGCATTTATACTCAAGGATGGCTCTTTAGAGCCCCTCTTCAACTCTTAAAAAAAAAAAAAAAGAACCATTATTCTGTCTCCAGGGAGGCCAATTTTACCTTTTCTCTAGAGGAATTTCCTAACCCTTTTCCACAGAGAGAAAGCCCCAGAACCTTTACATTGGGAACATCCTTGGGCAAATCCTGCAAGGGGAGATTAAAAACAAACAAACAAAACATTTCCACTAGAAAATGTGAGAAGTGAGCCTTTTTTGAAGGTAAGAATTAAAAGTGACAGGGAATCAGTGAAGGAACCAGGGCCGTGACAGGTGGTGAAGACAAGTAGGAGAGACAGTCACACTTCTACTTATGAAAAGTGACTCCAAAGAAAGCCACTTTATGCTGTAGGCCTGGTGGGTGATGCCGAGATAGCACCATTTAAACCCGTGAGAGCCACCTACGGCTTGCAGACTAGGGAGTTTTTCCCTCCAACATTTACAGATTTATTCAGTGCTGTTAACTCTTCTTTTGGGCTTCTAAGCACTGAAGAATGGATCCTAGGAAAACTGGACAGGAAATCAGGAGTCTGCCAACTACAAGCTGGGGCTTATCCTCACATTCACATACAAAAGAAGGAAGGGCTATGGACCATCTGAGGTCCCTTCCAAGTTTAACTCAGTGTAATTTTTAATTTATTTTGGCAAATATGTATTGAAGACACACACAGTGTCAGGCATAATCTTGGCTTTAAGATGTAAAGATCTGGTCCCTGCCCTTGAGAACTCAAAGTCTAGTAGGAGAGAAGTGTGTGTCAGGAAATACCCCAAGACATCAGTGTGATGAGTGTAACAAGCCTGTTTGAGGGGAGGGGCAGGGCGGGGGAGACCCCTGAACTTGGCGCCTAGGAAGGCCCATGAAATAAATGATGAATACATGATGTCTAAGCTGGGTTTCTAAGGGTCATGAGGCATTCATGGGGGCAGCGGGGGTGTCTAGTAAAGGGGTCCTTGCTGCTTTCTAACCTGGAGCAATCCAGAGATGAGGTTTCTGTAAGCTCTCTAGGTGCAAAGGAGGCAGGCCTTGGGTTGGTTCATGGGGTAATGTGGTGCCCAGCCTAGGAACAGAATCCGACGTAATTCTACTCTGAGTGGCCCTAAACTCACTAGGCCAAGGACATCCTCTAGGACAGGGCTGTCCCACTATCCTTCCTCACAGCCACTGGGTTCAGAAGTACAAGGTGGGGTGGATGCGGGAGGGGAGGGCTAAGCAATCAGGCCTTCAGTCCCAGCCTTCTGCCTTTCCAGGTGTCATCTACAGAAGAAGTTGTCATTGCTAGAACATTTGTGGAAATCAGTACTCTCGGACCTGAAGTGATTATCAGTTCACAATCTCACAGAGACTTGAATATGAAAAGCATCACGAAAAAGGTTCTCTCCAGTTTTCTCCTCTTGTTTCTGGTGGCAGCTTCTTCATTTCCTTGGCTGATTCCCAATTTGCCGTCTTCTAAGAGAGCATTCAATGCTGGGATTCCTCGGGGCTCTGGCCTTTGTTTGAGTTTCTTCTCAGGCTACCCTCTCCCCCAGGGGTATCTTGTGGAGCTCCAGATTTACAGTTCACCTGTTTGGCAAGGATGCCCACCTCTCCAGCTCCCCTAGGTCCCAGATCCACCCACACCACTGCCCTGCAAGACAACACCACTCGATGCCTCAAATGAAATACAGCCAAGACTTGAACTCATAACTGCCCCACACTCTCTCCACACTGCGATCTCAGCAAATGGTCCCACCATAACCCAGTTGCTCAGCCCAAATCTTTAGGAATCACTCCTAATTACTCCCTCTTTCTCACACCCAACATCCAATTAAACACCAATTCTTGGTCATTCTATCCTCCAACATTCCCTCAGATCTGCCTGCCTCTTCCCATCCCCAGCATCAGCACCCTAGTTCAGGCCATTTTCACTTGGACAACTGTAAAAATCTCCTCCACGATCCCTCACCTCCCATCTGGACTCCCCCTAATCTGTTCTCCACACAGCTGCTGGGGCATTTCAAGAACACAGATCTGATCCTAAGAATCCCCTCCTGAAAACCTTTTAATGGCCTCTCATTCCTTTACAGTCCCAAATCCTTCAAGTGGCTTAAAGGGCTACAAATGACTGGGCATCTCTCCAGCCTCAACTCATGAAATCCTCCGGCATGTGGGACTTTGCCTAGCACAATACCTGCTCCCCCCTTCCCTGCCTCCCTCCCCGTACAGTCAGTCCCCCGTGCTACTCCAGCTGGTGGGGACTCTGCTCTGCCCGCTTCTCCCTAACCCCTCCCCTCCTCGTCCCATGCCCAGCCATCTCTTACTTGACCTTCATTTCTCAGCTTACACTACATTCCTTGGGGAAGTCTGCTGTGTCCGTATAGGTCAGGCCTACAGTGCTCAAGGTTTATGCTCTGCAGCACTCTTATTTATCTACGATCATTTGTTTGTTGTCTGTCTTTCAAAGAACCTTGTTCTTTACTGCTCTCTAACTGGTCCTCAGCATGGTGCCTAGCACACAATAGGTGCTCTATTTGTATTCTTTAACGTATTTTTTAAAACCACTTCTATAGCTCTTCCTGGCACCTATAAGCAAACACTGCCCTCAGATCCCCACCTCTCTCCCTTCCCATTCTCCTCTTTCCCTCAGTCCGTGGCCTGGTTCCTGTCATCAGGCCCTTGTGTTCTATTTGCACATCTGATTCCAACACAACCTTCACACACTGTGATGATAAAACCTAGAAAGCAACTTCATTTTCTACTGAGCAATGCCTACGATGTCAGAATACACCCACCATTGTTACTTCCACAGAAATCATAATCAAAACTCTAGGGATCTGTGTCTAGAGTCCAGCATCCAGGTTGGCACCAAAAAGGGAAGAAACATTATTTGAAATATTTGTCTGGTTTCCATTGTCACTGTTACTTTTTCAGAGGGATAAACATATATACTATGGGGATGTTCTGGTTAAATAGTTTGGCTTAGTCAGGATTTACAGTGATTATCTCAGAAGCTCAGTTGCTCAGGAGGGGGAACAGGTGGGCAGAGCAATTCCTTAGAAGTGTAAGACGTACAAGCATCAAGCACAGAAAAAAGAAAAACCTTGCTTTCCAAAGTCCATAAGCTTCCCTCTGGCTGCAGTGCAGCCTCTCTTGCTGGCGCAGACAACATGACTGAGAGCCAAGCGTGAATGACAGAGTCGGATTTGCTAAGCAAAGCCTGTTTCAAAGCAATTAAAAAGAGAATGTCATCTCCTGTGGAAGCTGCAAACAAAAGGCCGGGGATGCTTTTCCCTTTTTTAATTGATCGGGGCTGTCAACTACTTCATTAGCAACCTGATTAGGTTCTAATCAGCCCTCTAATTAAGTGCTTTCAAATCAGAACCTGAGAAGGGTGTGAACTTAGAAGGGAGGATGGGGC